AATTTCATTTCAATCTCAACCGTTAGAGCAATCCAAAATTTTGATATATGGTTATAAAGCTTGCATAATTTTGAGGTTAAACATATGAAACTGGTTCAAGGTTGTCACTTCATACAACCAAAAAAAAAAAAGAATGAAATTATGTCAAAAGATAAAAAAGGAAAAAGGAAAAAGAAAGAAATTGGAACTGCACTAGTGAAATGGTAAAATATTGTTTTAAAAAGTGTTCATAGAGTTTTATCAAATTCGTATGCATATAAGAATTCAATTTCTTATTCTCTACAAAATGACATCCACCTTGATTTATTTTGAAACGAAAAACATATTTATAGTGGTGATTCCAAGTCACCATGTCACAACCAAAAGCATCGAGATTATGGTGGTCATTCCAAGTCACGAGCAGTTGGCATCAGCAACGAAGACCATCAATGTGGCGTTGTTTTACACTTCATGGTAGGAACTTAGTATGTCATGCCCATGAAGTACCTCTGTTAAGTGAATGTAGAGAGAGGAACTATGCCTTTTTTAGGACTTACACTTTCAGACTTGGACAAACTTGTAGAGAAAAGTGAGGGCATTTGGAGGACTTATTCTTTCATATTTCGAAAAACTTGTAGAGAAAAAGTGGGGCATCTGAAGTTTAGATAGGGACAAATTGTGAGTAATTTTGGACAGCTTCGTACTTGGATTCTCATATAGAAGGATGAAGATTTGGGGAAAATAGAACATTGAAGAGAAGAACAAGATTTTCTCCATGAAGATCTATTAATATTTGGTTTCTAATCACCTGGACGACATGAACCCTGGTTTTAGGATAAATATGTTATTGTTTGTGAATTATGTATTATCTATTATCAATTGATGTTCTATATTTTTTTTAGACTTGAAAAGTCTTATTTTTCCACTCTGTTCTTGACAATATTCACCTCAAATTGGCAAGATTTTTAGGTTTTACTATAAAAATGAGAATTATTTGTCCAAAGTCTGATTTATAGATAGTATGTGTCCTTTTGTACTTGAATACCCTTATGGGTAGTTTTGTTAGAAAGAAGTACACTTAGTATGAATTATGAAGTGAATATGGACCTTTAAGAAGCAAATGTGAAACCTGAAAAGACAAGAACAGAGCGGCCCCCCATACCACCATTGCTCAAAGAAGCCCTAAATTCACAAAGAGTTATATGGATCGAGAAGAAAATTATTGGAAAAATATTTGTCTAAAAAAATCTAGCAGCAGCCCATACCTCTGTTGCCCTACATGCTTGGGAACATGAAGATAAAGTCAAGAAATAGTCCGCCATAAAACTCAAAAAACATAATAGGAACTGAACTTCTATTCGTCGCCCTAAGTTTTCAAATAAATCGCCCTAAATTTATTGAATGGACAATTTTACCCTCAACTTAAAAAAAGTAACCCTAACCTAAACTTACCCTATTCTTTTACTCGCCCCACAGCCCCACTCCCATCGCAGCACAGCAGCCCGCCTCCTCCCCCCTTCTTTCCATTTCAAACGAAAGGAACCCTTCCATCTCCCTGCAACCCTAACCTAACCTAAACGCCGCCGACAACAGGTTCTTCCCAGGCCCGGATCTGGGGTGAGGTGGGCAGGGTATCCGCCTGCATCGGGCGGTGGCTGGGTCGCCAACCCGCCCTGCCCCAGTCCAGTCGGATATCCGACCCGCCCGACCCGGTTCGGTCTGGTTTTCCAACCGGCACGGTTCTGTTCTGGCCAAATTTTTTTTATTATTTTAAATGCATAGGTTTATGAATTGTTGATTTTAATTAATAATAATTGTGAATGATTATTTATGCGACATACATTATAATGTGAATTTTGATCAACTTGATTTGAATTGTAAATTATAATTAGCATGATGTTTTGTTATTTTGACAATATAAGTAGTATTCAATTGATAAAGTTTATGATTGTTAATGATTATTAGGAATAGTTAAAAAGTTTAGGATGATTAATAATAATTATGAAAAAAATTATTTTCTTGATAGTTGGTAAAAATGAACGAAAGAAAGGGAAAGTCGAGGGTTGTCGGACGCAATGTTACTGGATCTGAGCACAGAAAACGTCAGGAGGAGAAGGAGATAGAGCTCTTGAGCTGGAGCGTCAGGAGAAGCTTGCTCGTCAAGCTGTAGTTGATCCTGCCCCCTCTAGCCATGATTCTCGACAGATGCGACTCATCAACACATATGATGACTTGGTGGAGGATGCCACGAGCAGTGATAATGAGTGTGATGAGGGTGATGAGGGTAATGAGGAGGGTGACCCATTGGCTAGGAGGTGGGAGGGTCCCGTTCATGGAGGGGGCCTAGTGAGGTTCCACGACGTTTGGATCATTATCGTCGACTGTTGGACGGCTTTACAGCGGACCACGTGGACTGGCTTCCTTTTGGTGCCCACCCTGGTCGTGCGGTACCTAGATCTTTGTATCGGGGGGGGGGGGGGGGGGGTGATACGTATCTATGACGTGGCTGAGGCCTACGATCCCTCACGCACTCTCCGTCAGTTTGGGTATAGACAGGTGATCCCTGATCCTCCTATTCGACCATCTCGTGTAAGTCGACCTGCTGTAGGGACCTATAAGGTCGTTTTTGGGGCCGACCTCGATCATCTTTGGAGGTCTCGCGGTCAGCTGATCAATTTGGATGCCTACTCTACACCTTTCGACGACAAAGGATCAGTTGACCCAGAGTACCTTTAGTGGTACACTTTGCGCACTCACCCATGCATTGTCCCCCCCCCCCCCCCCAGAGATGGTGAGCAGCAGGAGGTGGCATTGTTGACGTATGAGATGGTTAGTTTCTATGTTTCTCCCCTATTGGTAAAATTCTTCTTTTACTACTGTGGTACCGACACCTTTTCACTACTGTGGTATTATATACTAACACTAAATTTTATTTCTTGGACATTGCAGCTAGCATGTCAGATTATTGATGGTATTGATCCTTTGCTTCGTGCTTCTGATGAGGATCTTGACAGGTGGGGTCCTTATGGTGACATGATTCGACGAGTTCGTGACAAGTACATCGCTTTTCGCCAGCAGAGACCGTACCGTCCACTTACCTTGTAGTTTTATATGTTGAACATTGTTGTTTGATGTTTGGATGTTTGATGTTTGGATGTTGGAACTCTAGTTTGTTTAGGTTTAGGTGTTGGATATTTGTCATTTGATGTCCGGATGTTGGATGTTTGCTATTTTTATATTTGGATGTTGGATGTTTCATATTTGAGATTTGGATGTTAAAGGAAGAGTCTGGATGGCAAAGGAAGAGTCTAGAAACACGACGCTCATCATCAAACTCGCACTCAAAAAAGTAATCGAGACGTTGAGCTTCTATCAATGTTCACCGCATTGGTTTCATGCCACCCAATCTCTCACGCCTAATCTTTTCTGTCTCGTTATAAATCTACTTCATATGGTGATGAGCATCGTACTTCCTATTCACAAAACTCCTAATATCTTTTGCCTGAGTATGTGTTGCCTCCAACTCCTTAATATCTATTCTTCTCTCTTTCGAAAGAGAATTCCTTTGCCTACTTCCTTCAGAATAAACCTCCAATTTTTTATTGTGAAATCCTCTCGACTTACCCGGATTATCTTTGTCCTTAACACCAAAAATTCTCCACTCACACTTGCAATCTACCAATGAACAACGCACTACCACTCGGAAACGGCAATCAGACTTACCTGTTTTAGATTTGCTCCGTGTTGTTTTTTCCAAATCAGGAGTATATGACTTGTTCCTGTAGCCATGGTTGCAATCCATATACTACCGCGGATATTTTTCTGATGAGTGATTTTGCTTGCCTGATCCCACAATCAAGAAAAACCTATTTCTCATGGCAATCTCCCTTGCAGCAGCACAAGCATCAACATGGGTATCATAAACAACATTGTTTATGAAAAATTATGTGTAATCAACATTGTCACCCTTATCATTTCCAAAACCTCCTTACAAAAAATACACGGTATAAATATTAAAGTTAGTCTTGAAACAATTATGTTGCAATAATATAACTATTAAACAACAAAGAAATAATGTATTTACCGAATCACTCATTTTAAACTTGTTATTTGATGATGATAACGAAAGAGGCTTCTACACTTTGTCCTCCCTCCTACAAGCACAACAAAAAACAAATTTTAATGAACATATAATATATTTCAAGTGAATTTCATCAAAATTTGTCTAACAATTCACAAAAATCCATCTAAAAAATCAAAAAAACCGGCCCGAAGCATGTGCAAAACATGACTTGACCATCGACAAGGCAGAAAATAAAAAAGACCAGCCAATGGTTCAAACGTGCTGCGCAGGTGTCTCTACCAGTTAGCGGGCATGTTCTTTACGGGATTACGTCGTATGCCAAGCAGGTTGTCTACCCGCCTCGTCCATGGAAAGGCATGTGGCCGAAAGGGTTTGACTACCCACCTGTCCCACCTGTCCACTGACGCGGGCATGTTGTCTACCCGCCTGTCTGATGGATCAAGCATGTGAATTACATGCTCAGCGAGAGGAACGGACAAGCTGTCTACCCGTTTCCTCCATGGAGAGACGTGTTTTCAACCTGCCTCTCCGGCGGCGCGCACACAATTTCAACCCGTTTGTTCTCGTAAAACCAGAAAAAGAAGAAGAATAATGCAACATACCTTTGTTCGACTACTTGACTGCCGAGTGTGTCTTTGGCTCCGATGGTCTAGCCGAATTCAAATAAAACTCACTAATAAAGAAGAGAGTAGTTGAGAATTGTTGTGGTGTGGGATTTGATTAGTTTTTTGTTTGAAGTTTCCACTCTTTGTCTCTACAAAGAGTGGAAAAGTGTAGGACCATTATGTCCTACTACAATATATGGGTTTTAAACCCTAAAACCCACCCAAGGGCATTTTGGTCATTTTACATATCTTAGGGCGATAAATTTAAATAATTAGGGCGACAAATAGGAACTCTCAATAGGAAAGCTATAAATAGGGGTATATGGTAAGTTGTTCAAGACATCAATTGATTGATAAGAGTACCTCTATACTTTGGGTAACCGAGATCATCATAGCCGATTCTCTTAGTTTTTGTTAAGTTTCAAAAGAAGGATTTCAATGTTTCTTTTTTGCATTGGTTGTTGGCCTCAAGGTTTGAATGCAGGGAGGGCGTTGTGGATCTTCTCATCCTCACATTATCACTAGCCCAACCCATTGAGATTTGAACTTCAATGTTTCCGATCATGGTGGTGTTTTATTTCTTTATATCTTACTAAACACTCCTATTGTTTAGGGAATGGATCCTATTTTGTTCTGAACGTGTATTTCTTATAACTTAATATATATTCTTGAGGTTTATGCTTATGATTTCTTGTTCTTGATTGTTTATCAGTTGAATTCGTGTAGGTGATGCAAGAGCGCTTATATATGTTATCTGTATGGTTTTTCATACATGTCGATGTGACATTTATCATGTACCTTCATTGATTAATGATGATTTTATTTGGTTGATATGAGAACCCTCTAGTATATAATTACTAGGTCACCAGTATAAGAGCTATTATTGAGTTAGTCGACCTCCATACTATTTTATGATATATGTGCGTTCATAATCGATCTAAGTCATGACACAAGAGCACACTTAAGTTGATTCATTATATATATTGCATGACACGGGAGCGTGAATACGACAAGTTCAAAGAGGCTTGAGATCGATTAAATCAGAGAAATACAACCTTGAGTATATATTTTAATTGTTTGATTACATGCTATGTCATCTAAGTGAAACTATCCTAAACACCTTTAATACATGCTTTCCAAACGCTATTTTCCTGCTCTTTATATCTTGCCTTTACTTGTTGGCCTTTACTCTCTACCTCTAATTTGTTGTGTGTATTTCTTATTATTCTTACTTCTTAAGTTTCGTTGTTGTATTTACATTTGCCGCTATTAGTTAGAATTCGAAGCTAGAGGCACCTCGACCCCAACTTGGTTACTATAAATACAAGTAATCAATCCAAAAATAGAGATGTTGTTGGAGGCTCTACAGAATATGAGAGCGGATCTGGTGACTAAGGGGGGGTGCTTAGTCACTTGGCTAAGCCCCCCTCCTCAGCCATTGGATCCTTATTAATTGATCTAATGGTGGAAATAAGGGAAGGGATGATTAAATAATGAGAGGGGCAATTTTGGGATTATGAAAATTTTATTTAATTATTTTTTTCCTCCAGCCTGTCTTCTTCTGCGTAGCACCGCCGCCCATGAGAGAGAAGCGCTGCAGCGGGGGAGAATGCCGGCGATGATGGAAGAGAGGGCGGCGACGACGACAATGGAGCTCTCGACGGTGCCGGCGACGACGAAGAGAGGGAAAGGAGAACGAACGTGACAGAGGCAGCAGCTTTGAAGAGAGAGAAAGCAGATCTCGTCGTCGTCGGGAAACCAGAGGAGAGAGAGAGACGATGGTGGAGGATAGAGGCGGCGGAGAGAGAGTGTCGGCGACAATGGAGGAGAGAGAGGCATCGCGACGATGGAGAGAGAGAGAGGTGGCAACGGCTGTAGAGAGAGTCGGCGGCGGCGTCGGCGGCGGCAGCGGCGGTGGCGGTGGAGAGACATCGCATACGTCGTTTGAAGGAAGAACAGTGATTTGTATAGTTTGTATGTTTTGTAACATTAGTTTGTATTGTTAGTATTTTTGTACAAAATGTCAGTATGATTTGTATAGTTTGTATGTTTTGTAATATTAATTTGTATACTTTATATGTATTGATTTGTGCTGCAAATCACGTCGCTTTGTATTGTAAGTACTAATAATTTGTATACTTTATATGTATTGATTTGTGATGCAAAAAACATTACAAACATGGTTGACAAAAATGACAAACATGTGGACAAAAATAACAAACATTACAAACAATACAAAAGAAACCAACAAACATTACAAACATTACAAAATAACAAACATTACAAACATTGCAAACAAACATTACAAACATTACAAACAAACATTACAAAGCATACTACACGTACAGAATATCACTACTTACAATACAGATTGGTAAACTTGTATTACAAACAAATGAATACAAAGTATACAAATCATAACATAAAAGTATACAAACTTGAATAACAAAAGTTACAAATACAAATCAATGAATAGAAAGTGTATAAATCATAACATAAAGTATACAAACTAGACAAACAAACATTACAAAATTACAATGTATACAAAATATTACAAAGCATTACAAACAAACATTACAAAGCATACTACACGTACAGAATATCACTACTTACAATACAGATTGGTAAACTTGTATTACAAACAAATGAATACAAAGTATACAAATCATAACATAAAAGTATACAAACTTGAATAACAAAAGTTACAAATACAAAACAATGAATAGAAAGTGTATAAATCATAACATAAAGTATACAAACTAGACAAACAAACATTACAAACATTACAATGTATACAAAATAGTAATATAAACATTACAAACATCACGAACTCAATACTGTTGCCTGAAAATCATCCACCACCGTCTCTGGTCGCCGGAAAACTGCTCCGCCGGTCGCCGGAAAAGTTGACAAGAACTCTCTCTCTCTCTCTCTCTCTCTCTCTCTCTCTGTACGTAGCTGTGGGAGATCTCTCTCTCTCTCTCTCTCTCTGTACGTAGCTGTGGGAGAGAAAAGCTTTGGGGAATTCATTCCCACAAGCAGAACCATTTTTGGGGAATTAATATCCCATCGGCCAGGAACGGCGGCCTGGGAACGGCGAAGCCTGGGAACGGCGGCCTGGGAGCGGAGGGGTTGGGGAGCCGCCGGAGAATCCCAGAAAACGAAGCGGACGGGATGGTGCATTATGTTTTTTTAAATTATTAAATAAATTAATTATATAATTACCACATTACCCTTCATTAAACTAGATAGATCTGAACCATTAGATTTTAATGATGTTCAATGGTTGAGATTGGCTTAGTCATGTGACTAAGGGACCCCCCCTTAGTCACCTGATCTTAGCCCACAGAATATGATCTAGACATAGCTAGAATTTATTTTTTTCGAGACAAATTATAACCATAAAATTGGCATTGTTGCCTAAGACTCTGGGTTTATATTGAGAAGGATTTTTTTTATTTATCCAAGATAAGCCCCAAGGCATGGCTGGACAACAAAATACAAAACATATAATAATAAAGCACGGTAATCCGTATGCAACCGGATTCCCGATGAAAGAGCCTGTTATGCCACTAGGTGGGCAGCTCTGAGAAAGCTCCAAGGAGCGAAAAGACACGAAACTGACACGAGGGGCAGAAAGAGAGAGAAAAGAAACTTCCCTGAAAGTGGCTCATGCACTGGGAAGAGAATGCTTCCTCGATGTAGGATCCATGTTGATCAGTTGAGAAACCCCGCAATATGTAACAATCAATACATTAAGGGTAAGATACAATCACATAGCCTCACTAAAGACAAGCAATTTGATATGATCATCGATAATACCATAATAGAATTATGAAAGTCAAATGGAATAGTTCCATCACCTGAGAAGCCGACCGAGTCAGTTGCACATCCTTGAAGATTCTTTGTAACAATTGAATAAATCATTTAACGAGACTTGCTTTCCATCATATGTTGAGGAGATGCTTGATCATAACTTCACAATACTAAATTTTCCTGTACGGAAACCAGCTACAAAGGCACCACAAGGTGCTAAAAATCTCTAACTAAAGAGATTAAAATCTGTCAAGAGATATAGTCGGACTTCACCGAAAATTCCACATCAATAATGTGGTTTCAACCCGAAGAAAGTGAGTTAGTTCTGTAAAGTAAAAATATTGGATAAAATCCAATAAAAAATGGATAAGAAGAAAATGACTAACATAACTGAGCTTGCTCAAATAAATTAAATAAATAATTAATATTTACCTAATCATTGTTACCGAAAGAGAATTGATGAAGAAAACGTAGATTAAGGGAATAATAAAAGCTAACAACTAGCAATTGAAATCATAAATGAGATAATTAAGAAAGGAATTAAATTAATTCAAAAAGTTTCTGTTTCGGAAACTTACCTTTAACGTAATTACCTTATACGGGAGCGGTGACGCAAATTCAGCGCGGTCTTCATCAATGGCTTGACTCGCCGGCGAATTCATCAATGACGACCCCCCATCGCCGGAATGACGATCCACGAAACTACCGACCGCTCATCACCGATGATCACCTTGAACGACAACTTCGCTTGAGAAGAACGGAGTTGCCCTGCCAATTCTGTCCCCCGTTTGGCAGTTCCTCGTCATCGGAATCCACCCACCCGTAGGCCCCTTCACCACCATCACGACGCCGCTACCGCCAACATTACTCACCATAATCAAATTGAAGCGATACTCTAAGCTTACACAATGACCAATGTCAAGAACATCAAAACAAGCAAGTAATTTCCTATTAGCTGCAAATTTCGAACCCAATAATGCTAACCAAGATTAAACCCCACAAACATAATCAAATGCAGCAATACCCTAATCGATATAAATTGAGAGAGGAAAATAGCAGCTAAAAAACCACCATAGGAAGCCAATTCGAAAGCAGAGTTGACTTCCCTTAACAGAACCTGAGCGTGGAGAAAAACCACTATGCATTGTTGTTTCCGCCTTGCGAATGGGCGGAGTGGCTCGGGGACTGCCGCTGGACCGGTCCCGGTACCGATTGAACAGATTCGGAGCTTTTGCATGCCTCCATACCGTTTCGATTTGCTCGCTAGGGTTGGCGCAGCTTCTTTTGGCGGAAGGCGATCTTGATTATTCCACCCACATCTTGAGAAGGATTAATTGCTTGTGTTTTTTTTACATTTCCACCCACATCTTTGTTTATTCCATAACAAACGTGCCTTCATTGGTATGTCTTTTTTCCCCTTGTAGAATTTAGTTTATGAACCCAGTTCTTACTAGGAAAGAAGGGAAATTTAAGAAGTTGATTGAGAAATTATCTACATACCACGAAGGAGAGTCCGGTGACTTTAGTTAACCCCTTTTCAAATCAAAATAACTTGGTTAAGGACTTCCAACTGATGACGAGTTGGAAGGTTGATAAAAAAGGAACTTCTAATCTCCTTCTGTAATAGAAATCTAAAAGCTCACCCTGGCAAGCGATCGTCTGATACGAGCTTTGATAATGGCTTGGGTGCTCCCACACTATTTGAGTACTCATGACCCAAAGATTTAAAAATTATATCAAACATTGTTCCTCCTCCTACCACCATAGAGCGCGCCGCTTTTTCCTTGATTCCCGAGAGGAATTGCCTGTCCGCCCCCATCGTCCAGCAACGACAAGGAGATTATCCCAACCGCCCTACACCTAGTCCGATGGCGCGCCGCTTTTGCCAAGTTGCTTGCGGTGGAAAAAGCAAAGGCTGCGAATTGCTATTCTCCCTAGACCTGGCGGCAGTCCTCTGGTTGAGGGATTGTGGTGATATTGACGATGACTATTGAGGGGATAAAGAGACGGGTTTAATTAGTTTCGGGTGAGGCGGAGTGGAAAGAGAGATTAGGGTTGGGGTTGGGTTTTAATTAACTCGAGGGGTACTTTGGGCATTTTATAAATTACGGGTGAGTTTAATCTGAAACTTAACTAGCGTACGTAACTTACTCGATTTATGTCGAAACTCGACACCGTTTGAACTGAGAGTTCGCATTTTTAATCCTCATCGATAATACGGTGGAACTTGACCCAAGGGTATAACAGTCATTTTGACTTTTGGGAAGAGCGGGGTGTAACAGGCTCGGTTGTGTATGTTCTGAAAGGAGTCGAGAAACTCAAGGCCACTATTCTTGTCTTGAAGAAGGCCTTCTTTTCACACTATTACCGATACGAAAAGAATGGGAAAAATTGGATTCAATTGTCAACTGCTCCTATCGGAAACATAAAGTTATGAGATCCTATAAAAAGGGTTTGGCTATCCTTACGTCTTCCCGATCCTATTAGTATTATTCTGAGCATAGTTCTCACGAGGCCTTGAGAGAAACATGTCCAATTACTCGACCTGGGCGACCCAAACTCTAGCTGAAACAGTCGAACCAACTCATGCATAAAATCTTGCATTTCTTCTTTACGCCGACTCGGCCAGCACGACTACTTAACAGGGGGATTCACCGCTAATACTAGCTTGGCTCATTATTGCCGAGATAATGGTTTACTTCTTCACATCCATCGCGCAATGCATGCAGTTATTGATAGACAGAAGAATCATGGTATACACTTTCGTGTACTAGCTAAAGCGTTACGTCTGTCTGGTGGAGATCATATTCACTCAGGTACCGTAGTAGGTAAACGTCGAAGGGGAAAGAGAGATCACTTTGGGCTTTGTTGATTTACTGCGTGATGATTTTATTGAAAAAGATCGAAGCCATGGTATTTATTTAACTCGACGATTGGGTCTCTCTACCAGGTGTCCTGCCCGTGGCTTCGGGGGGTATTCACGTTTGGCATATGCCTGCTCTGACCGAGATCTTTGGAGATGATTCCGTATTACAATTTGGCGGTGGAACCAAGACCCGATGAAAAAAATGGGATCACATATTATGGGCTTGTTGAGAATGATTCTGATCTAGTTCATTTATTTGTAAAAAATTTTTCTCACCTGATTTTCTGTTTGTTTTGGCTATCAGTCGTTGAAAAAAAAGCAAAAAGGAGAGATGCTCCAAAAAAGCTGGGGACTCAATTCCCTACCAAACTCAGAGGCGCAGAACTGGAATAAGTCTAGAGGAATCACCTTAGGTTCAAAGAATCTATAAAGTAAAAGCCTACATGTCCTGCCTTTTAGACCAGCTGTGATACCTGCCGGTCGATCCGGTTGACCTGTTTTAGGGAAAAGGAAGATTGCTACGATTACTTGAACTTCCTCGTTGGGAGAGAGCGAGGAGACTATAAATCTATTGATGTTGAATACCTGTAGGAGGCAACTCAATGCCACATTGAGACCTGACCTATATTATCTATTATTTACGGGAAGCTAAGTCACGTTATTCCACTCGGTACGAAAAAGGCCAACTTAGTGCAGCCGGATCGGGGATTGTTTGAGTGTGTTGATCTGCCAAGTCTTTCTAAAGATTGTGTTTTGTGCAGTCAAGTAGCCTTTTGTTGTTTCACTCGGATAGGGAATATAAAGTGGCTCACCATAAGGGCCTGGTCTTCATTGACGGCGGTCCATAATGAAAACGCAATTTTTGTTTCTCTTCTAAACGAATACGATATTGAGATTTTTTACCGGAGCGCGGCCGATTTCTAAGATCGCTCCCTGCTCTAGGTCTTTTACTAGTTAGTCCTGGTAAAGCCCCCAGACGGCGTATTTTTTTGAAACGAGGCCCTCGGTAACGTGCTCCTCGTTATGATCGATTGTGCCACACACAAGAAATAGCTCAGCTCGTGAGTCTGACTACGGCTTTGAGCCACCAAAGACTTTGAATCTCGAATTACTTAAATACGTTCGTATCGCCGCAAAAGCTAAAGGGTCAACAGGTCAGGTTTTACTACAATTACTTGAAATGCGTTTGGATAACATCCTTTTTCGATTGGGTATGGCGGCAACCATTCCTCGAGCTCGCCAATTAGTTAACCATAGGCATATTTTAGTTAATGGTCGTATAGTAGATATACCAAGTTAGATGGGTTTCTAAAAATCCACCTATCCCAATAACAAAAAAACCTGACCTGAATGATCCTGTACTAAGAGAGAAATTATCTTAGGAATGGGTCATAATTATTATGGAGAACCCACATGGCCCAACGACCTTTTATATATCTTTCCAGTAGTAATACTAGGTACTATTGCATGTAATGTAGGATTAGCAGTTCTAGAACCATCAATGATTGGGGAACCTAATAGAATATGGGGAAGGACATAGAATATGGTGATTCCCTCGTCTTTCTTTTTTTGGTATGCCGCTCCGCGAATCTAAGAGAAATTCTAGAGTGTGTACTACCCCGAAATTTTTCTTGTCTTTCCTGAACGATAAAGAGAAAAAAAATTGGGGCGGGGATGCGAAGAGAATTGATTGTTGAGCCGTATGAGAAAGAAAACTCTCAAGTACGGTTCTAAGGGAAGGAATTTATTCGCCTATTCCCGCTTCTCACAGCTGCTCTTTTCACACCTCCCGAAATCTGGTGCCAAATCGTCGCCTGTTTCCTTATTTCTTTAATAATAGAGTTGGCTATCTTTGTGGCATCGATTGTACAAGTTCGTGAAGAGGGCTGGACGAGTGGAATGGGAGAAAGCGGCTCGATCGACAAAAAATAAGAATAGCCGTTATTTATTTATAATTGAAGAAAAGCAAATTCGTCGAAAGAAAGAAAATAGAGCAGTCGTGCATTTATGCGGTAAATTTGGCAGCTAGTTGATTTCCGCTCGTAGATGATAATTTCTATATGACTTTTTGCGTTTAAACGGGATTTTAGTAGTCTATTTCCCCTCGTAGATGAGATTTCTTTTCTTTGATTTTTCCCATGATTTATGCTTCTTTTTTCAATCCTGAGACGAGTATGAGGTCTGTTGGAAGACGGAGAGGGCAAGTGAAGTATACGTAGCAGGGGAGTGAAGCAACGAATCATAGTTGGAATTGGCAACAGGACAACAACCTCTTACTCCAGTAATGAGGGGATACACGGGAAAGAGTCCTATAGCCTTTCAACTTGCTAAGGGATGGTAAGAGCGCGGTTAATAATATCAGCCCAGGTGTTAATTACGCGACCTTGACTATCAACTACAGATTGGTTTAAGTTGAAACCATTTAGGTTGAAAGCCATAGTGCTAATACCTAAAGCTGTGAACCAAATACCTATTACAGGCCAAGCTGCTAAGAAGAAATGTAAAGAACGAGAGTTGTTGAAACTAGCATATTGAAAGATCAATCGGCCAAAATAATCATTAGCAGCTACAATATTATAAGCTTCTTCCTCTTGACCGAATTTGTAACCTTCATTAGCGGATTCCTTTTATGTGGTTTCCCTGATGAAACTAGAAGTTACCAAGGAACCATGCATAGGCTTCCAAATACATCGTAAGCTAAACCTGTGCTGACGAATAACCAACCTGCAATGAATAGAGAAGGTATAGTAATGCTATGAATGACCCAATATCGAATGTTGGTTATAATATCGGCAAAAGAACGTTCTCCTGTGCTTCCATATATGTCGAGCTCCACATATTCTTGTCTATCGTTAGCCTCCAACACGAGTATACAATCTATCTATCTATCTATCTATCTATCTATCTATCTATCTATCTATCTATCTATCTATTATGGCAATTCAAAAGCAATCTCTTGCCACATAAGCACTTGGAGTATCCACAATTTGCCAAAATGGACAACTTTTTTACAAACAAAAAAATTATTTATTAATGTATTTATGGAGCTACCTCTCTCTTCTATAATGTATTTATGGAGCTACCTCTCTCTTCTATAATATTTAATGTAGTAAAAAATATAAATAAAAAAATAGAAAGTAACATATACCACGTTTGTTTAAATAAAAAATATCTGATTAAATCTTAGGGTATGCCTACTATGACATAGATGTCACGGTGACATGCACTTTTTGGTCGACCTATTGCTGAAGGCGGTCGACCGAATCGACTAATTTGGACAGCACAAGAAAGCATTGTGGTCGACCTCAACGACCACCTGGTCGACCGCACTTAGTTTAAGTTGTTATTTTTGGTCGACCAGAATAAAACCTGGGTCGGCCATTTCGTTGGCGTCAGAAACAACATGGTCGACCACCTAAGGTATATAGGTCCACCACTTGATGGCAGTCATTAACAAAATGGTCGACCGGATGAGGAAAGAGGTCGACCAGATAGAAGATAAGTGTTCTATCAAACTGTCCAATTATTTGACGTAAAATCAAGATCAAGTGTTGGTTTTGCGGTCGACCTAATCCGGTACGAGGTCGACCGAATACAAGAAAGTCACCCTATGCCCCGTGTCATTTTTGCTTATGTATGTCGATTTGTGTGGTTCTTTTAATCGTATAAATTATGTTTCAAACCATCATAATTAGTCATAAATAATTATAACAAGGACTCATAAATTCATAGCATAACAACTAAAAATAAAACAGAAATCATAATTGTTCACACATAAAAATAAAACTAAAAAAACAACAGAATATACACTCAACAATCGTTTTGACCACTAAAACACACAATATAAAAACTCATTTCTCCTACTCATCTCCCCCCCTCTCTCTCATCCACATTTTCTTCATTGGTGGTGCTAGCATGATGGTGGTCGGATGTGGTGGGATGCATGTATCTTCCGCTGAAAGATCGCCACTCATCTCGCATCTCATTCACGGTCACCTGCATTGTGCTCATCTGGGCGGTCATTTGCCCCATGTAGTCGTGCATGCCAGTCATCTGGGTGGACATCTGGCCCATGTACTCGTACATGCCATCCATGTGCTCCCACACACGCTGTAAGGTGATCGGTGGAGATGAACTCTGTGCCTCCGCCATTGGCTCGTCTCGAGCTCCTTCATCACCCTCATCATCATCATCATCATCATCATCATCATCATCATCATCATCATCATCATCATCATCATCATCATCATCACCACCACCATGAGCATTGTTTACTCTGACATACTCACCATTACGCAGCTCAAAGCCCATCTTTTTCAGAGATGAAACAGTATAGAACTCCTGCCTTGAGATTCTTAACCCCACCTCTTCACTTAAATTCACATTAAAATGCTCAAATAGCACAGTGAGGATCATCCCATAGGGAAGATTCCTGTTTGAACTCTCTGCAACAGTAAGCATGTGGTTAAAGATCAAGTATGGCAAGTTCACCTTCTCGCTTAACAGTAGGTTGGTGAGGAGCTCCATGTCGAAGCAGGTGACTGTCTCCCGATGTCCACCCTTTGGTAGAATGTTGTACGAAAGCATGTGGTGAAGAACTCTGGCTTGAACTGTCAGGTGGTTACTCGTTGGCCTATTGCGCCCCTGAGCATCTTCCTCTTCATCAAGACCACATACCGTCTGGATTTGCTTGGCTCTCGTGAAATGCATTTCATTCCAAGCACCGTAAGAATTGATTCTCTTCCCCTCGTTTGGAGCCTCAAGTACTTGCGCCAACACATTCTTGTTGATGTGCATCGCCACCCCATTCACATAGGATTTGAATGCGTGAATGGATCCATTTGCATTGCGCTCGTAGACGATGTTGTTGTAGAAGTACTGTACCAGTTTTGGGTAGTATGGTACATTGAGAGATATCACCTTCATAGGTCGACCTTGAAACGAGTCTAAAATTGCCCAAATCCTCATACCAATTGAGTGCAAAATAGATCCGGTCGACCTCATAATTAGAAGAGGTCGACCAGTGTTAGCTTCGCACAAATAATTCAAAGACAATTGCACAACTCGAACTTTTGCCTTCATAGGTCGACCTCAGAATCATCATAGGTCGACCTCGGCTAAATTGAAACGAGTCTAAAATGGCCCAAATCCTCGTACCAATTGAGTGCAAAACAGATCCGGTCGACCTCAGGAAAATCATAAATCGACCTCGGAAAATTTAAATCGATTGAAAGCCAATTGTGTTTTCAAAAGCCGTGCAGTTCAGGACATTAGACCACCTTGTAATGCACTCGAAGACACAAACGTTTATGTCTTCGAGTGCATTGCAAGATGGCTTAATCTCCTGCACTGCACGGCTTTTGAAAGTCACAATTGGCTTTCAATCGATTTAAATGGCCCAAGGTCGACCTCAATATCATCACAGGTCGACCTCAATAAGTTTAGCACAAATAAATCAAACTTTTGCCTTCATAGGTCGACCTCAGAAGCATCATAGGTCGACCTCGGCTAAATTAAAACGAGTCCGAAATGGCCCAAATGCTCGTAGCAATTGAGTGCAAAACAGATTCGGTCGACCTCATAAATAGAAGCGGTCGACCAGTGTTAGTTTCGCACAAATAATTCAAAGACAATGGCACAACTAGAACTTTTGCCTTCATAGGTCGACCTCAGAATCATCATAGGTCGACCTCGGCTAAATTGAAACGAGTCTAAAATGGCCCAAATCCTCGTACCAATTGAGTGCAAAACAGATCTGGTCGACCTCAGGAAAATCATAAATCGACCTCGGAAAATTTAAATCGATTGAAAGCCAATTGTGCTTTCAAAAGCCGTGCAGTTCAGGACATTAGACCACCTTGTAATGCACTCGAAGACACAAACGTTTATGTCTTCGAGTGCATTGCAAGATGGCCTAATCTCCTGCACTACACGGCCTTTGAAAGTCACAATTGGCTTTCAATCGATTTAAATGGCCCGAGGTCGACCTCAATATCATCACAGGTCGACCTCAATAAGTTTAGCACAAATAAATCAAACTTTTGCCTTCATAGGTCGACCTCAGAAGCATCATAGGTCGACCTCGGCTAAATTAAAACGAGTCCGAAATGGCCCAAATGCTCGTAGCAATTGAGTGCAAAACAGATTCGGTCGACCTCATAAATAGAAGCGGTCGACCAGTGTTAGTTTCGCACAAATAATTCAAAGACAATGGCAGAACTAGAACTTTTGCCTTCATAGGTCGACCTCAGAATCATCATAGGTCGACCTCGGCTAAATTGAAACGAGTCTAAACTGGCCCAAATCCTCGTACCAATTGAGTGCAAAACAGATCCGGTCGACCTCATAATTAGAAGAGGTCGACCTGTGTTAGTTTCGCACAAATAATTCAAAGACAATGGCACAACTAGAACTTTTGCCTTCATAGGTCGACCTCAGAATCATCATAGGTCGACCTCTGCTAAATTGAAATGAGTCTAAACTGGCCCAAATCCTCGTACCAATTGAGTGCAAAACAGATCCGGTCGACCACATTATTAGAAGAGGTCGACCTGTGTTAGTTTCGCACAAATAAAACAGAAATAAAATCGCTTGAAAGCCAGATGCGGTCGACCATGGTTATGAAAAGGTCGACCTCATCTGGCAAACAGAAGGACAAAATCCCTCTTTTGAAGCTATAGATGTAAATAATATCGTAGCAAAACTTCACAGGTCGACCTCAATTTCATCATAGGTCGACCTCAGTCTATACAACAAAGGAAAAATTGATTGAAAGCCAGATGCGGTCGACCACGAATATGAGAAGGTCGACCTCATCTGGCAAACAGAAGGGAAAATGCATCTTTTAAAGCTACAGATCTAAATAATAAGGCCAGAAATCTCAACTCGAACTTCACCGGTCGACCTCAATATCATCATAGGTCGACCTCAGTCCATAAAACAGAAATAAAATCGATTAAAAGCCAGTTGCGGTCGACCACGATGATGAACAGGTCGACCGCTTCTGACGAACAGAAGGAAAAATCCCTCTTTTACATCTTTAGATTTTTTGAAAACAAAAAGAAGAAGACAAGAATCGACTCAAATGAAAGAGAGGAGTGAAAGCTATACCTTGTTCTTCTTCTAAGTGATGAGGATGAAGCTTTCTTTGAGTTTTTAGAAAATGGAGTTTTGGGAAAATGGAGAAGAAGATGAAGAAGGGAAAGGAGAGGAAGAATGAGTGGATGTGGTGGGATAGGGTTCCTTAAATAGAGGATTGGGGTAGGTTTGGGTGGATGTTGCAAACAAACCGGTTTGGTCGGCCGAATTAAATACGCGGTCGACCTCACTAACCTGTTCGGTCGACCGTGTGTGTTCAGGTCGACCGTTATTTGTATGAGGTCGACCGTTTTATTGCTATTGTTTATTTCAACCAACAATAAATTAACTCATAAATTATTAAGATAATTCGAAGAAATTACAATGCAATCACAGTTATTAAAATATAAATAAACTCATAAAAAACAATAGAAGAAATTTAAGATTGTTTTTTGGGACTTTGTTTCGGGCACTTAGGGCGAAAATGACCATATTTCCCACATTTCGAACACTTTCTTAAACTTTTGCTCGATGCAGTTTGTGCTGACTTGAATGTCCCCTTGGTCTTCCCAATTTTTGGATCTTTCACACTTCGAAGGGGTGCTGGAGGGTTTGCCGGTGTGGTGTTGTCCGTTCTCTCCCTCGCGAACTCAATTGCCCATTGAGTAAGGTCGTCCAACGTCGTAGAGACATGATTAAAAGTAGATTCACTACCACACGCGATGTCACATAAACGCTTACACTTTAGAGCCAATCCTCCATGTCTTATCTTTCGACCAACTTTCTCTGCCACATCACCTCCAACTCCGGGATGACGATTTAGTGTCTTCGCATTTTGGGTCCATCGAAGCTTGAACCACGACGAGGGTAGTGCGGTGTATCCCATATTTTTTTATTACTGTAAGCATGTGTCTGCATGGAAACCCCTTAGATTCAAATAATGCACACTCGCATTTTAGATCTTGATTGGACGTAGTAAATGTTAACCGCCTTATCCGATCTGGGTTCATGTAGTTCTTCAGTATGAATGTCTCTGTTCCATCTGATTCAGTTCTTCTCTCCGCTAATACATAAGAAGCTTCATTCTCTAGTTCAGACTTGAAGATAACAAATGTACGATGAGTGTAGATACTTTCAGCTTGCATTTCCCAAGTGCGAAGGGCATGCTTGCAGACCAACCTCGTGTGCCTAGAAGTATAATCATCCTGCACCTCCGTGAAATGCATCCCCTCCAGTGCTTCATCAATGCCCTGAACAAAACGTTGCAAGCTGTATTGAGTTCCCACATACCCATTTATCCAATGGTTACATGACTCATATCGCGAGGTTGATTGGAGTCCACCAAAATAAATATCCTTCAAGTATGCCTCTGCCCACAGTAATTTGTCAGCGTACAAATCCTGCAACCACTTATTTGCAGACAAACCATGCTGACTAATCAAATGCTCCCAACGCCTCTCAAACTCCTCAATCGATATTCGTGCTTTCGCCAAGTAAGTGAATGCGCTAACGAACTCCTTATTATGAACGGCCATTGTCGCATTTGTCTCAATATGCCAAATACAAAGACGGTGAGGCACTCCAACCAGAACAGTAGCAATGGCACCACGCATAGACTTGTCTCCGTCTGTGATCACTGAAGTTGGCATCTTAGAGTTCATACACTCCAGAAAAGTATTCAACAACCAAACATAGTTGGGGATTGTCTCGTTATCCAACTGGGCAAAACCATATATGATGTTACGGTGGTGGTGATTTACACCAACCATCATAACAAATGGTCGATTGTACTTGTTGCGCTTGTAGCATGCATCGAACGCCAAGACATCCCCAAAAAAATGGTAATCTCCTCTAGATGTGGAGTCCGACCAGAAGAGATTGCCTAATTCACCTTCATCATTGGTTGTGTACTTGAAGAAGCTGCCTGCATCAGAGGTATGTTTACTTTGCAAGTAACCCAATGTTCGGTTAACATCTCCTATTAGATCGTCGTCAACTATTCGGGATTGCTGAACAGCATTGTCCAAATCCTTTGGAGTATACCCCAGATTCTCATATCCTCCAACTTTATTCTTCATGAACTGAACAATGTTGCGTTGTTTTATTCCTGATTGTCGCATCCCTATCGCCAGAGCCTTGTCTCCTTCACTCACATTTAGATGACTGAAGGAATTGAGTTTCTTCTTCATTGCAGCAACGATGTGAGTGCTTCCTCTCAAACTTAGAAACAACCCACATTTTCTTATTCCGATCAAAGCGTACAGTATACGATGCCTTGCAATAATGTCTTGTCATCTTACGATGTTGTCGAGTCCGACCTTCTTTATCTATATGCATCTTATCTCTAGTCCCCTCTCTCGAACATACCATTGTCCTCCCAATTGCTACTCCTCGACGATTCCTCCGAAGATCTCTACGTCGAACGCTAAATCCTTTCGCTTTAGCATAGGAATCGTAAAATTTCTCTGCATCTTCTAATGTTTGGAACTCCATGGAAGGAATTTGTTGTTCATATTCAGTAGCTTCTTCATCATCCATAAATTCTTCTTCAGCACCCTCCGTTTCATTATCATCCCCAACCACTTCATCATCCGTATTATCTGTATCATCTGAATTATCCATAGCTCCTTCTCGAGCATCCTTAGGTTCCTCATCGAAGTTAACCTCATCATCATCTCTATCATCTGTATCATCTCTGTTATCCATCCTGCAACGATCGGAATACGAACTTAATGTAAAAAACATACACAATTAGCTCTCGTCAGGTCGACCTGACTGAACTGTACGGTCGACCTTATTACTAAATAACAAACATGCGGTCGACCTGAATTTACTGAAAGGTCGACCAAATCATATAATTACAAAAGCACGGTCGACACGAAGGTGAAGGTGGTTGACCGGATGGTAGGAAAAATTTAACCACATACAAGCATTAACAAGCACATACGAGACATACCTTAGCAAAGAGGTCGACCACTTATTGTTACGGTCTACCGGAATAAAAATAAACCGCCACCAACACCCGATCACAATAAGAGCGATGAGATTACAACTTCACTCCAACAAATTGCATAAATCGAAGTACGAATACAGTCTTAAGACTATCATCTATTTATAGATAATGTAGACGAATTCCTTATCCAATTGGTGAAAGTTATATAAAATCATAATTCGACAAGGACAAGTACACAAAATCCTAATTGTACAAGGACATGATTCATTACGGTCGACCTCTTTTCACAAATGGTCGACCGTCTTGGGTAAATGTGAAACAGGTCGACCTCTTTACACAAATGGTCGACCGTTGTTTATAATTGTGAAACAGGTCGACCTCTTTACTGAAATGGTCAACCGTATTTTATTAAGGCCAAACAAACGAGATTGCATCCATATTCTACATGTTTTTTTGACTTTGCTACGGTATCATAGGTCGACCTTAAGCATCACGAGGTTGACCTGTGCTCTGCCTTTGGGTATGCCCACTTTGAGTATGTGGTCGACCACTTGTTCTAGACGATTGAAATCGTAAATTCAGTCACATCCATAATTGTATAACAAATCTAATAAACGATAAACATTCAAAATCGAAAATGAAACGATCTCGCAAATACAAATTCAATGTATGGTCCAAATAATGCAACATTGTAACCTAACGACTTCATTTCTTTGCTTTTTTGTTTGAACTCTGTCTCTCTTTGCCTCGTTCCATGCATTCATCTACTACATGCTTGAAAAGATTTTCTCGTGCAAGGTTTTCAAAATGTAGCCAGATACCATAGAATCTCCTTTCGAGCCGGTAATTTGTGTTCTTCTCCTATCTGCATTATGCCATGTAAGATTTCGTTACAACTAAAAAAAATGTAAATTAAACAAGTTATTTGTTTGACGATATACTCACCACTCTATCAAGATCCTTGGATCCATAGCGCATCCACTGCATGACGTGCACACCACACTCAGTACTATTCCGTTGCCGTTGAACTCGTAGCTCATCAAAATTGAAATCTCCAAAATTTTGGTACTCCTACATTGCTCATGCGCTCCGGTTTGAAAATATCATCCAAATTGGACAACTACACACAAATAATGAATATTTTAAGTTTCTAGCATAATACGTTACGCTTAACAGTCAGAAAATTATAGGAAACACTTACCAATTTCTTGCATAGTGCTGATTTACGCCTATGATTCGCCTCACTAGTTGAAGGTAGACTGTCAAGCAAAAATGCAGTTTTTTGCTGGACATTGACGAGATACAGAAACCAATGACGTGCTTCATCGTCAAGAACTGGCATAAATATCTAGCAACGAAACACTCACTATATGTTATAAAAAGCGAATACAAACAAATGCACTTTCGAAATTTAATGATATAGGGACATTGACTAGACTAACCTTCTGGCATGCACCGACATTCGGCATAAAGACCACACCATCATTCATCAACTTGTTACAAATTTGTCTGGTCTTCATGTTAGCGCGTACCATTTTCTGCACCATGTTTTAGTTGAGATGAATTGACATGGTACAATATAAATAACTAGGTTATGAAAAATAATTTGACATTACGGCTCTTACCGAAAACATATTTGGCAAATACCACATATTTGGCTCTTTCACATCATGTTTTTCAGACATTGTTAGTGCCCTTGCACACATATCCACTACCTACCATCCAACAATCAAACACAAAATCATCGTAAATCGTAACATAAATAGTGCACAATTCATACAAAAGTCGTAGTAGTATAGTACTTACTGATGAGCAAACCCAGCTATTCTCGCTAATGACCGAACTCAAATAACGTCGTTGCACGTTTTCAGAAAAAAGTCCACAACGGTCAAACTGCAAAAATCAAAATAACAATAATGTCAATTGTGATTTGCAACGTACAGGTCGACCTGTTCACCGTCACGGTCGACCTCATGACCTAAACGGTCGACCACACGTACTAAAAAACGTCTTACTTGTCCCAATTCTTGTCCCCAGCCTTCTCTTTAGTAACAACATAATACAAGTCTTCAACTGGATTTTGAAGGTTTTTGGTGAATCCTTCTAGACCCTCCACTTTCATGACCTACAAATCATAGTTAAAATTAAAGTAACATATGAACACAAACACACATTATAGATGAATATGTAACGTAAACTTACCCCGTGCTTTTCGAAAGGACTCTTAGATTCATCTTCATCGCTATCAGCACTAAATAATCCTTTTCTTACAAATTGATCCTTCTGTGGAGTGGTGTAGGAGTCACTTTCATATCGCGGTCTCTTGTACTTAAGAGAGGAACCCTTGCTGCCATTCGTTGTTTCACTCTGTCAAACATATAAACAAAACAAATTAGCACTAATGATAGTAATACTAATATCTTCAATCACATATGAATATACTTGGATACCTTTAAAATGTGCTCTTTCAATAAATCGTCTATGCTCTGGTAGCAATTTTCAGAGTCATCATGGTCTTCTTCCTCTTTACCAAAGTCAAATTTCTTTCCTTTACCATTTCTTCCGCCATTCTCCATTCGTTCTGCACTTATATCTTTGATAGCACCTTCTAGCCTCTCAAACCCATCATGCATCATCCCAGTCATATCTGTCAGTCGAACTGACAATTGCTCCACTCTATCACGCATGGACTTCTGAAAGTCATTGACTTGTGTTTGACACACCACCAGCTTCTCTTGTGTGGCTTTCAACAATTTCATGATTTCACCCAAATCTTGATGCAGTTTCTCATCATGCGTCATTGTCTAAACAATTTCAAGAAAAATTTAAATCATAATTCAACTACAAATTTCTACAATTGACCAAAAAACAAAGACGTGGTCGACCTGACAAAGTATTAGGTCGACCTGGAAGACAAATAGTGACTACCACAACCATTAAGGTCGACCTCTGTTATTCCTAGGTCGACCTATCCAGCAGGAAAATAACAATTAACAACAAAAAGTAAGTTCAAAATTAAACCGAAAAAAGGATAGGTCGACCAGATATCTGGCGCGGTCGACCTTTTCAAGCACAACATAGTCATACAATCAAAGCCAAAGTCGACATTCAGGTTGAATAACCAAAAAAACAGGAACGGTCGACCTTGAAACAATTCAGGTCGACCAATTGGGTTACCTCGCAAGTACAGAAATCCAAGTGTTGTGGCCTAAATTCAAATACGCAGAATTGTCTCGTCAGGTCGACCTGGTTGACGTCACGGTCGACCGAATTGAATTCTGCACCCAACAATATATCAAATTAGCCAGTAGAAATCACGAATTAGAAAAGAAGACGACGAATGGTACATTAGGTCGACCTCACCTTAGACCTGGTCGACCACTTCCAACGCGTACAACAGCAACCGCGAACGATCTTCTTCACAAAGGCTCTTAATCGGAAGAAACCTAATTCAGACTTGGAGGCGTTGAAGGGTACTTATATTCGTATTTATAGAGATTTAGGACGTCAATGGGTCGACCCAATTCGTTTCCTTGTCCAATTGTGGAACCTTTCTGGTGTTGGAATCCATATCCAATACGGATACGGTGTGAATGCGGTCGACCTCTTCATAATGCGGTCGACCTGTTAGATGCACAAGGGTCGGCCTATGAGATATTTGGGTCGACCTTTCATTCTGTTAGACCACCAAAGCGGTCGACCGTATTATGTAAGAGGTCGACCGCGTCTCGGAACCCCACATACGTGAATTAGTCCATTCGGTCGACCGCATGTTGGATTAGGTCGACCGAAAAGTCCATGTCACGGTGACATGCATGTCACCGTAGCAAAATCCTAAATCTTATGAAGTAAATTTTTTACTCATTTTTACTAAAATTGAATGATAAGTTACATTTTGATGAAAAAATTATACAAACATACACATAAACAATAATGTTTTTTTCGATTAAACAAAATTTATATGAAAAGAGAGAAAATAAATATTTGACATTCAATTACCTATGAAAAATAAAGTATATTACAGTATATTTTGTTGCAATGAAACACTGTCTTATTCGTAATTTATATGTGTATAAAATAAAAAAAATTATTATTTAGCAAAATGTCAGAGTATAATCTTGATCGAGTAGTTATAGTTATTTATTTAAAAAAGACTTCTTATTCCTCAGATCATGTTCTACCTTAAACTCCTCAAATGAAGAGAAATTGCATGTGCAATAATTTTATAATGTGTCCTAAGTTCACATTAATAATATTTGTTCTATATCATGTTGATTGAGAAAACTCTATTGAGGTCCTAAGTGGTATGCTAAGAAATTTTATTTCAGACTTGGGGTTATCGTCAACGATTATAAATAAAAATTTCAAAATGACTTAAGTATAATTGTTGACGAACTTTGACTTCATACCCTAGGATGAGACACAATATTTCTTGAAAAATAACATAAAGGAAGGTTAGAGAATCTTTGTTGAGAATCTACGATAAACATCGTGTTTCATCAACTACTAACCTAGAAATTTACCAAATAAATGTTGGCAATTTTTAGTAAGATAGTCAATTGGGAACATATTTATCCAGCAATCAAGTATCTTTATCCAATAATCTCAACTCTCAAAATTGGTTGCCAGTTCGTCTAAACTCGAGAAATACGAATTAATATATGTTGTATAGATAATAAGTTAATGCAAATAATCAAATAAAATTCACCGATATTGTTCAAATGATAAGACATTTTAAATGCACTTGAAATATGTGTGTATTGTAGACACTCTTTATCAAATATTAATATATAAGTGATAAAATCTTTGAAAATTACACATTCAACGACAATGTTAAGACCAAAATCCTCGATAGTGTGTGCGAATGTCTTAGATTGAGATTCTAAGCCAACATATAAACAATGACCAAGGGTTGAAGTTTCATCTAAACTTCAAAAATTAACAATTGATACATATTGTATAATATACTAAATTTAAGTGTCTTGATAAAAAAACTAACATCCAAAATGAAAATGAGCCGAGATTATAGAATTTAATTTAATTATCACGAGGACTACGGTGTGTGTTAAGTTTCAATATGGATGAATAAATTGATCCAATAATGAAGTATCTTTACTAAGAATATCTCACTAAAAAGTCCTAATCTTTACAACATTTGTGGAGAGTTCGTCCAAACTTGAGAGTCATGATTGTGTATTGGATTTAAAAAGGACCTAAAATCTCAATCCCTTTCGGGGGCTAAATACCTCTGATCACAACCATAGGTGCCAAAGAAGAATGAAAAGAAGCCCAAAAAAATCAAAAAATAACATAACCTCTGAGGTCGTGTACCAAAAATCTGCCACCCAGTATAATGTACCAACGCCTGAATTTGACGGACGCGATACGATGAATAGAATAAAATCATATCGAGCTATGATCCTGCCATCCCTACCTTTATTCTCCATAAAGGGGGCGGCGGGAGAGGATAAGAAATAAATAGCAGGATCTTAGGATTTGCCTCTTTATATATTACAAATTACACGATAGACAACCCCAATGGCTGTCTGACGTTATGGGGGTAAAAGCGGGATCTCTATCCCGAGGGTGAGGGATAGGCAAGTAGCACTTTTAATATGAGTATTAGGCGAGATAAGATAGGTCTGACAAAGTATCTAGATAATTTTGAGTCTACTATATATATATATATATATATATATATATATATACTCACACATATACATATATATAATATCTAGGTATACTATCTTTTGATTTTACTCAAGATACGATAGAAGATAGGTATGACAAAGTATTTGCATAAATTAGAGGTTAGAGAATTAAAGATTGGAGTTCACCTATTAGAGGTTAGGGTATAGTATCATGCCCCAAAAAACTCTGGAGTCTAAATAGTAAAACTCAATGGTCTTATGGTAGTGTGAACGCAAGAGTATAGCGTACTCCAGGCGCACGCTAGCTTGAACTATATATATACATATGTGTGTGTGGTTCATGTTGGCATACGCTAAATATTAGTGCTTTGGTTGACAAATTTTGACATAATTTCTAAATGAGACGTGACAGCGGCATAATTTATGATTAGAAAACCAAAGCATCAGAAGTGAGTGTACTAAATATTGGAAATTTTCAATATAGACATACTACAAACTCTTTTATGAATCAAGAACACAAAATATTTAGAAGATCAAAAATTATTTAAACATATAAATAAGTTAATTAATATAAATTATGAATAAATCTCTTCGACCAACGGGCCGGGTAAAAAGGTAGTATGAACTAAAGAAGATTATTAAAAAAATTGGCATATCGTATTTTCTACTTCTTTCTTTTTCTATAGTATAGTATAATATATAAATATCAATATATCAATAAATCTATATAAAGAAAAAACATATTAATAGTTATTCGTGTGATTCGGATCATGAATACGATATCTCCGATTGCTCGATAATTCCCACAAGCACAAATTCCACTTTTTATTGGGCCCAGAATAGCTCGTATAAGAGCTGCTCTATGTTTGGAAACTTTTCTATTTTATTGGACGAATTGAAACAGGTCCTAGAACTGCAATTAGATCAATGGCCAAAAATAAAAGAAGGATCAAGAACTCATCAAGCTTATGGACATCTAATCCCTAGTGAAGATCAGGCTGGACTGCCCCTCTTCATTTCGACTATTGAATAGATTCTTTCTCCGACCTCAAAGAGTGACGAAAGCAATTCTCATATAGAGTTCTTCTATGTCCTAATGTCTTCCTTGTCTGTCCTCTACCTTGTCTAGGCTCTTGGATAGGTAGCTTGGGAAAGAAAGGAGATAATTAGGTATTCTAAGATACTTTTAGCAATGAGTTCGAGGTCAAAGGATTTCTTCTACATAGGGGATTCTGCTTTGTCGCCTAGTAAGAAAGAGAGAGGACCGCCAGCAGCAGAGCAGCCACCTGCTCAAGCACCCGGCCGCCATCGACGCGCAACGCTCCATCACCCCCACCACCACCACCAGCAGGCGATCCCCTCATCCAGAGGGTGGATTGCCTAGAGACGAACTTCATGGGATTCTCATCCCGCCTCGAACGGTAGACCGACATCTTCGAGCTTATGGCTCGACGCCATGGTATCCACCAGAGAGAGGTAGCCGACGAGTGAGACATGTGGTAGAGCGGAGTCCTTTCACCCCACTTCTCTACTTGTAACACTGAACTTGTTTTTATTTTTGTTAGTTTACTTCATTTTGTGTGTGTGTGACATAAACTACTACTATGTATTGTGCTTGTAATAACCTCTCCTCGAGCGAGTCGTATTGTGTTTGTGTGTGTGTTTTTTGTCTATCCTTGAATCTCAAATTATCTTACCCCGGTTCGATTCCAACTTTCACTCACCAAGCCCAAGCGGTAACATCATTCTTCCCCTTTCTTACGCCATTGAGGGCAATGTCGAGTTTATGTGTGTGTGTGTGGGGGGGGGGGGGTAGTTTACTAGTACGCTTTTGTGAGTGTGATTGATGCTTGGAGCTTTTGTATGCCCAAATTTCAAAAATTTGAGGGCTCCAAGCAATGTTTGCATGAGCAAAGTGGCCAGATGGTGGGAAATTCTCGTGTTTAGTTGCATTGATCTTGAATTGTTGCATGTGATCGAGTATATCCTATGATGATGATTGATAATTTCATTAGGATAGGGCAAAAGTTTAGTTCTCAGGTGTGCATAAATGAATGGATGTCTTGACTTGATCACTTGTTGCTCACAATTGCCATGCATCGTGTTTGTTAATTGGAATAGATGGTTGGGTAACTAGGTAGCCTGTGAGCTTTGAGACGATCGTTTTCTTCCGTTGTGATAGTTCCCTCTTACCACGGTGTGTGGCATCACAATTGTCGCTAGAAAGTATGATGGAGGCATAGGATTAGTCCACGCCCAAATGTTGATTGTCCCAAAATGTGTCATCTGTTAGTCAACCCCTTTGAGCCTTGTGACTTCGATGGTCGTTCTCAATTTAGGAGCTTCGTGCGTGTAAGCTTAATGGTGTTAATAGAACGACCCCCAATCCTTTCTTCGTGTCTAAACATGAGTCGTCCTTGTGTCTCGTAGCTCTTGCCTTTGAGTTTCCATAGAGGTTCTACATAGGAGGTTTGTGTGCGGTTCTTGCTAGGGATGAGAAAATTGAAGTGTAGGGTTGGAGTGAGTTCCTGAAAAAGAGAGCATTGGTCGTTAAGTGTATAGGTGGCAAGTGTTTTTACTCTCTAGTACCCCCCTCAAAAAGAAAGGGAAAAAAAGAGAAAAAAGAGAAACGAAAAAGAGGTAATAAAATGGGGTAAATAGAGTAGAGAGTGCCACGAAAAACCAAAGTACATGCTCTATGAGGGGTTTCTTGGCACCCAAGCCATCGAAACCCCCACATTGTTTTAGAACTCCTTCACTACCAAACCTTAATGTGCTAGCAAGAGTAGACCGAGGAAGAGTGCTTCAATGTAGTTCACGATGGGTGATAGTTTGGAAAGGAGAGATAAGGGTTTTGGCCAATGCTAGTGGCCTTGGATTGAAAAGAGGGATTTTAGTCGAAACCATAGAACCTTCGGGTTTAGGTTGAAGATGTAGAACCTCACGTCATGATTTCCACCACCCAAAAGGTCTTTTTCCCATGTCCAAGGCAATTGAGAGTCATCTGAACCCGTGTCTAAGACCTCTAGACGACCTAGTGGTTACAACCATCCCGTGAAAAGCCTTTTCAGATTTCTAGAGAGAGAAACACGAACCAAGGGAGAAGAAGGCTAGGGTTTTGGGAAGATCTCCTCCAAGGAGAGTTCAAAAAAAGAGCCAAGAAGATTGAAAGCATCCTCCAAGATAGTTTCCACCTCTTCTCCTTTTGTTTTTTCCATTTCTAGCATGGAGTAGATAGATCTCCTTTCACTTGGGTGTTGTGAAACCCTAACTCTACCATATAGTTTCTTTTATGTGAATTGAATGATTTTCATTGGGTATTGTTTAATTCAATGATTGAGGTATTATTCATGTTGATTGTGCATGCTTGTGCTTAGCAACCTAAGGGTTGTGCATGTTTTGTACTTAGCATCCTTAGGTTTGTGCATTTTGGTGCTTAGCAACCTAAGGATTGTGCATAATTGTGCTTAGCACCCTAAGGTTTGTGCATGTTGGTGCTAACAATCTAATTAGCCTCCTTAACCTAGCTTAGAGAGGAAAATCCCCTTCCAATGGAGACTCAATCGAGTTGGTTTTCCTTCAGCTTTTTAAGCCACCTAACTAGGTTAATTTAGGGCAACCCTCAATGTTGAATTAAGAAAATCGGTTAATCGCGATTAAGCTGTCTGACCTTTGATTTGAGTGAGGGAGTAAGTCAACTACCGATTGCCTAAACCGAGAGGGTCGAGTGACACAGCCTCTGATGTTTACCTCGATTCAGCAATTGAGATTGTGGTCTCCGACCATATATGCATCCCTCTGCGGTTCGCGGTTACCTTGCCCACAACAATTGTTCCAATTCACATAACATGGTAGTAGTTAGGTGGAAGCAACTCCCGAGTGATCCTTCCACAAAAGATTTTTCAAACCCATTTACCTTTGTCCTATTTTGTTACAATTAGCAAACTTTTAAACCAAAACTTTGTTGCTAGATAATGATTAAAACAACTAAAGTAGGGGTAGACGGACCGACCCGGTTTGATATTTAAATACTAACTCTATATTGCACCCGGCTACAGTTTAAAAACTTGGACTCTAGTCCAGATTATATTGTGGTATAGTTTCGTGCGAGTCACAAATGAATTTTGAGAGCTAAGGAGCCAATAAGGAAAAAAATCTATACTTCAGAGAGGTCATGATAAGAAAATCTATACTTCAGGGGCCATGATATATAGGAAAAGCATCATAGTTTATGGGCCAAAAATACTATTAAATCTATTTAAATACAAAAAATTAATGTCAACATGTAATTGTTTATACTTGAATTGAACAAATAATATCAGAATTTAAATGTTCATACTTGAATCATACATAAGACATCAACATTCAAATATTCATACTTAGAATTCACAATCAAACATAAAAAATAAAACCATCCATTATCATCTATATTACTTCAACGACTTGAGTAATGTTAAAATCAATTTTGTGAATCACATCATAGTTAAAGTAACATTCTTCAAACCATGAAACCAAATATTAGTTGTTATAAGTTCATTATTACAAGAAGAATGCATTGACTTTTAAAATCATAATATAAATTTGGGCAATGTCTATTTATTACCCAAACATTTTCCAAATTATTTTATTTTATCCAAACCTACTGGAATACTATTTATTAACCAACCGTATTGTAACAAATCAATGTTTGGGCATTCATTCTGTTACCGTTAATTATTTACTAACGGATCTCCACCTCATCATCCATGTCAGAAATTAATAAAATTATAAATTATAAAACTACAAATAAAATAATAAAAAAACCCTTCATTCTTTAATTTACTTTACTTTTTACCTTCCTCTATCTGTCTCTCTTTTTCCCGATCCTCTTCCTCTCTCTGGCCTTCTCTTTTCCTTCCTCTTCTTCTAGAGAACAAAGGAAAGCTTTGGAAATTAAAACATTGTTGGCGAGAAATCGATCCTGGCCAATCCAAATCAAGCACAGAAGTGTCGATCTAGATCTCGTCGGAGACAAAGCTCTAGCGACGGCGGTTTTGGCAGCAATGGTGTCGATGGCGGTTTGGGCAACGAGGGCTTGAGGGTTCTCAAGCCCTCGCTGCCAACCCACAGTCGACACCATCGCATCCAAACCCGCCATCGCTGGAACTTCGATCTAGATAATAATGGAAGGGATTCTTAGTCATCTTTTCGTTATCTCAAATCTAATGATAAAAGATCTTTGAATGAGAAAAATCTCTAGATAGTAAAATGAGAACAATACTCTTACTGATCTATTAACAACAAGTAGATCCACGCCAGGGGAATTAGTAATGTGTCAGGAGAAATTGGTACAAGAAGCTGTGGATACACTTCTTGATAATGGAATTCGCGGACAACCAATGAGGGACGGTCATAATAAGGTTTACAAATCGTTTTCAGATGTAATTGAAGGCAAAGAGGGAAGGTTTCGCGAGACTATGCTCGGCAAACGGGTTGATTATTCGGGGCGTTCCGTAATTGTCGTGGGTCCCTCACTTTCATTACATCAATGTGATTTCCTAATTAGAATTCTAAGTTTTTGGCGCGCCCGAATAATCAAAAGTCCTTCAGGTCTTTTGGTTATCCAGACAATAGAATTAGAAGTGGAATATGATTTTCCACTTACGAAATTAAAAAATAAATAGAATGGAATAAAAAAAAGTTAATAAAAAAAGAATAATAATAAATAGGGTGGTAAAAAAACTTCTTAGATACCATAGATTTTGATATGTAATAAGTTTTACCTACTATTAGATTTGAACCAATGACTCCCACCGTATGAAAGCAATACTCTAACCACTGAGTTAAGTAGGTCATTTATCAACACAAAGAAAAAAGAGAAAGAAAACGAACCCCTCGCATCAATGGATTATAAATCGGATATCTTTTCGAAGCAATACCGATCAAACAAATCAAAGAAATAAGGTAGAAGATCATCTAATATTCATCTTGACAATAAATTAGTCACATTATAAATTGTGTATCACAAGCACAAGGGCTATAGCTCAGTTAGGTAGAGCATCTCGTTTACACATGCGCCAATGATTTTTTCGGAGGAGTACATCATTTAATCAAAAGACTTATTGAGAAGTCGCTGTCTTACTCCATCACTTTTAAGAAACATGAGAACAATATCCTGACAAAAAGTTTGGTCAATTTTCCGTGAAAGAATCAAAAATAAAATTTTCAGAAAAAATTATACGGAGAGTTTTTTTATAAATAAAATTTATCTTCTCTTTATTATTAATAATAACGAATTTGAAGCAAAAACCGATGTATCTAATGGAAAATCGTTTTTAACCGAAATTGGTTATTTCTTAAACTTAATTAATGAATTTGCTGAAGACTTTTTTTCAGTGACATCACAAGGGCTTTATGAGGAATTTCCCGATTCGATGTTGGACCCGCCAAGACTAACTTCGGTCTTTCTGTCTAGGTGCAGGTAGTCCGCATCTTCACAGACATGTCTATTTCACCGAGCCTCTCTCCGAGACAGTGCCCTGATCGCAAGGGAATCACAAGCTCCATGCCCTTCTACTTAGGAGACAAACCCGAATCCGCGTATACCTTCTGACGCAAAAGCAAACTACCGACAGATCGTGTCCTTCTTTCACGACATGCTCTGGTCCCGGGTGTTTTCCAGTGGTCTTCTAGCATTAGTAGAAGTCGTGTCCATCCCCGACATCTTCAAAGGACATTACGACAGCTCCAAAAGACTCACGCTTACCTGCTGACAACCAATCCTTTTCCAGTAACCATTCAGAGTGGGAGCTCAGATCTATCTCGAGCCAGAGGGGACATCAGGTGTACCGGAAGCTAAGAAAAAGAAGGTTACACCATAAAATTCAGAGATATCGGCACAGGAACTTAAACTCCTACTGCGTTGACTTTCAAGTAAGGAAAGCCTAATTCAAAAGGGGTGGATATCTTCCCCGGGCGTAACCCCCTTATTACAACCATCCGTTATGACGATTTCTCTCGTTATTGTTGACATGAAAGTCTCAGTAAAAAAGGTTGGTGAGTCGTTTGAAGAATTGAATTGCCTTCCTGAGCAAGATCACGCCCTTCGTTACGAGGTCTAGAGAGATGGAATAGATAGGGCCCACAAGTTTTTAATTCGCCGTGGAGGAATTAACACGAAAGGGAACGAGGAATTTTCAACGAAAAAAGTGCCTATCAGAGAGTTATCAATATTTATCAAATTTGTTCCTATCTAACGGAACGCTATTGGATCAAATGACAAAGGCATTGTTGAGAAAAAGATGGATTGGTGTTGTTCCACTACGCCTAGGACACTAGAATATCGAACCATGAACAAAAAAAGGCATGAGAGAAAAACATATTGGCTAGTGATTGCGAGGCCCCGAGCCCATGCAAAGGGTTTGGTTAAGATATGCCAGATTCCACCAAATATACAAATGGAACCTAACCATAAATGACCTCCAATTATATCTTCCAAATCGTCCACACTAACAATCCACCCTTCTCCCTTTCTGACCCCTCAAACGAAATAGTTGATTTGGCGCCCCTTATTCAACCATAAACAATTGAGATTGGACAGGAACGGACTAACTGAAACCTAATGGTCTCAAAGCAAATTCAGAAATTAACCCGTAAGAAATTGAATAAGAGAAGAGCGAAAGCACCCTTTACCTAGGCATCTGCCAGGGAATTAGAAAGCCCGGGCTTCAGAGGCCTTCTTTGAAAGGGAGAGGTTAGAATATGCTCGACCGAAGGAATGAACTAGTGAGCCCTAAGGAACGAAGTTTCTCGAATCAAAGGAGGCAAGAAAGAACAAAAGTACACTCACATATTTTGAACCCAAATCACAGCGATGGGAAAGGTAGGCTTGGAAGTTTAGTTAGAAGGTAAACCAACTCAACAACATATATATCCGAGGGTGGTAGACCGCCTCCGCATCAATTCGATAAATCTGCAATTGAGCATGGAGCAGCAGGACAATCTGCTGGAAACCCAACTTGAAATTGAAAGGCAGATAGAAAGATTCCTTTCCTTTGGCTTTTTAAGAAATAAGGCTTCGTAAGCAGCATGCATCGGTCCGTAGAACCTATAAAAAAGAGATGGTTGTGGCGCGAAGTATTTAAAGTAGCAGTCGAAATAGCAATAGGAGTCGCAGGAGAAGTATAGGAAGCTCCTGGGAATACCATGGTAAGAATGAGGCCAAGCCAATCTTCCTACACGTAGTTATACACTTTAGACATTAGTAATAATGGAAGGGATTCTTAGTCATCTTTTCGTTATTTCAAATCAAATGATAAAAGATCTTTGAATGAGAAAAATCTCTTTTTTCATTCCATTACTCTTTTTGTTAAACCTTCTATTTACAAATCCTTATATGACTCTAGATCATTAGCAAAATAAGAATTTGTGAGAAAAAATAGAGTCCATCAACTAGAAATAAAGAATAGGTCACGATATATAATCAATTTTTACTTTTTCCGCATCGGGCATTCAATAAGTTATATGGGCAAAGGGAATAAGGTATTTTGCGTCTTTTGTTGATCAGGCGACACCCGGATTTGAACCGGGGGGAAAAGGATTTGCAGTCCACCGCCATACCGCTCGGCCATGTCGCCAAATTAATACAAAAGAAAGGAAAGTATGCCATTTGGGGTGGTACTCAAATTTGCATCTTAACCCCCATTTTCATTTTCTTAACCTTAAGCCCCCTCCTATAAATTTCAACTTATGGAATGGTGATGTTGTGCACTTGGGTAGAGACGGGTGAGATTTGTGCCAACGTGGTCTCCATTAACAGCTCAAATCTTGTGCTCAATGAGGTCCCAGTACTTATTCTTGGAGCTAGGCTAAAACTCGTCCACATCTCCCTCCTGTCCGAACGATCATCTCCCGTCGTCCCGGATAATAGTATCAAAGTATCTACTCAGCGTGAAGCATCCTTACCTCTTATAGCATCCCAATGCGTTGATCCAACTGCTACCAACTCCCACTGTTGCCCTAAAATAGCTATTCAGTTCTTCAATTCCCTGCCTAAAGTCGCTGGAGCTTCTAACTAGGATGAATGCGCTAACTATGGATATGATACAATAATTAGACCGATTTTATATCACCCTTCAATTCGAATTAGCAAAAGCAATGTCTCCTTTCATAATATGCTTGCTACAGTTAAGCGATCCTCTTCGGATAATTCGTCCAACCCCAGGATGGCAATAATGTTCTGGAGTTCTTTGTAACGTTGTAAAGTTTGCTTAACTCTTTGTGCAGTTTCATAATGGTTGATAATCCATCCAGCACACTAAATATATTTGAAAAATTGAGTCAATTATATATTTTTTTCCATACGAAACTATCACCGATGTGTTGTATAATCTTTTCCCCAAATTTTAGAAGTGTCCCGAGACACCCTAAAGCCCCATATATCCGCCCCTATGAAACCACTAAAGCCCCATGCATAGCCCTTGGCTTCATTGCAACAGACTCGTACATGTCCTAGCATCATGTATATATAGAGATGATTATTTATTGCAACAGCCTGTAGTGTCCTTGCTTCGTGGGGAGCATAGAACAGAAAATTGATGCTTGGAGAAGAAAGAAGTGAGGAGAGAGGTTGTACAACGAGTTTGGCCGGTGGGATGTTTAGGGAGGGAGGTGAGATGGAAAATAGATGCTTGGACAAAATAGTGACCAGTGGGGTTTTCCAACAAGGGGGAGGATGGCATTATTTATTGCAACAACCTGTAGTTTTTTCTTCCCTTTACTTTCCCTATTCTTTAATAATTTTATTTACCTAATGTTTGGCAATAAGGGGGTGCAAATTCGAGGGGCAAAATACTTATTTACCTATGCTTTTAGTTGGCCCGAATACTTGTTTACCCATCCAATACTTGGTAAAAAAAAGTAATGAGTCATTATTGTTTACCAAATAATCAGGAGGGAAAACGAAAAAATCTGGTTTTAGATTTCTTTATTTACTTTTTTCTCTATGTTTGATTTTCTCATTCTTTAATAGTTTTATGTGCACTATGTAGGCAACAAGGTGAGCAAATTTGAGGGACCAAAACCACTAGATTACCTGCGCCTTTAATTGGCTCAAAATACCCATTTATCTATCCTCAAGTGGCAAAAAACTAACGATGTCCATTATTGTTTACCTAATGGTCAGACGGTATGTTTTTTTTATTTCATTTACTTTTCTTATTCTTTAATAATTTTATTTACGAAATGTTTCAATGAGGCCCATGACTAATACCAAGTCTTGCCACACGAAAACGGGGAAAAATTATTTAGAGTCGGGATATAGGATTTTTAACATGTTATTTATCGTGAGAAAATTGTTCCCCGTGACTAGATGTCAACCATTAGTTACAGTATTTGGTTGATTCTCTCGTGTCTTGATACTTACACATGGTACTTAACAGATATTTTTCAAAATTAATTACGCCTATTTTTTTTTCTTTTTTCCAATGCTTCGTATGTGAACTTGTAGTATTGAAAGTCAGTACAAATGATATCCCCTTAATAGTCAGAACAAAGTCATTACAAAGGAAGTTGATGTATCAAGCTTGCCCTCTTGTCCATAATACCAGTCTTCTCCTTCAAATCTTTTTATTTGTTCCCTACAGGAAACAGTTCAGTTCCCTTCTTCTTTTCTTCCTTCTTCCTCCAATTTCTACCCTTCTCTTCCTTCAAGTTGCATCTATTTGATCTCCACCCTCTCCACCACTAAGCCAATTTATTTTCATCACGTATCCAAATCAACAACTCCTTCTTCACTCCTTCCCTGGCGCATCTCTTCTGAGATCTATCCACAACCACAACCATCAATAGGTCGACATAAGCCTTAGGCAAGGTCAGATATACCTATCTTCCGTGAGGTATGTTCTAGATATGAAAACTAATGTGCCAGGTTCTTTTATTCACCTTCGATTTTGATTATTATTATTTTACTTTCTTTTTTTATGGTTTTGTTTCTAAAAGGAATTAGAGAGAGAGGCGTCCTATGCAAATAACCTATTTGTTTCAGAAGGTATACAGAAATAAATAAATAGCTTTTAGATGCAAATAACCTTAGCCTCTATAGCCAAGTTTTCTTGTAGTGTTCGGTGGCGGATCCAAATTAAATTTAAAATTAAAAAATAGTACAAATTTTAACGAAAGTCCAGGACGTGTTTTCATATTCTGGAAAAAAAAAATATATAATTGACTCAGTTTTTCAAATTTTTTGAGTGTGCCAAATGGATTATCAATTATATTTTTTTGTCCATACGAAACTATCACCGATGTGTTGTATAATCTTTTCCCCAAATTTTTAGAAGTGTCCCGAGACACCCTAAAGCCCCATATATCCGCCCTGGTTTCATTGCAACCCTAAACCTCCATATATCCGCCCCTATGAAACCACTAAAGCCCCATGCATAGCCCTTGGCTTCATTGCAACAGACTCGTACATGTCCTAGCATCATGTATATATAGAGATGATTATTTATTGCAACAGCCTGTAGTGTCCTTGCTTCGTGGGGAACATAGAAAAGAAAATTGATGCTTGGAGAAGAAAGAAGTGAGGAGAGAGGTTGTACAACGAGTTTGGCCGGTGGGATGTTTCGGGAGGGAGGTGAGATCAATGGCCGATCTAGGGCTGGGCCACCCCGGGCCCCGGCCCAGCCCTCTTGCGGTTCCGAATTGGTATAGTACGTATGAATTTTTCGATATTAGGTGTTCGGTCTAGTGCTATTTAAATTCGGTCCAATATTATTTCATAATAGGATTTTGTGTAACTTGAAAAATTGTATAGATGAACATATCCAAACCACTACTCTCAATTTAGACTAAAAATTCTAGCCCAAATAATTTTCATTTGACAAGAATAAAATGAACAATGAAACTTAAAAGTCTTACTCATAAAAGACTAAAAGTATAAAGTTTCATTGAAATAAAAACCTCTAAACTAAACCTCAAACTTCTCTGTCAAAACTCAAAAAATTCCTCCAATAGAAAAAAAAATAGAACGATGAGACGAACGAACCCGAAACGGATTCCTTCGCTAGTTCGTCAGGAGCTAATTTTCTTTCGAGTTTTTTGATGAAGAAAATATTAAAAAACTTGTTGAGTCATCATTTAAATTGCTTCAGTTGAGGGGTTCACTAGATCCTAAAATTTATTTATGTTTTTTTATGAAGAAAATATTAACAAACTAGCTCAAGAGTTTATCCTCGAGACTTTGAAGGCTATTAGATGCATTCTTTGAAGAATGATCTACGATATTATACCGCTCATGTGGTTCATAGCCAGGAATATGAAGTTTCTTCTCTTGCAAAATTACTAGAGAAGCTGGTGGAAACAAGAATGGATACACACTACACATTGATTTGTCAGTTGATTCGTCTAGTGTTAACCTAGCTTGTTTCAACGGCTACTACGGAGATAATATTTTCATCAATGAAACATGTGAAACTTATTTAAGCAACAAAATGAGCGATGAATTTCCCGCGGATTGCATAACTATTTTCTTTGAGAAAGAGTATGTTATTGTTATGGATGAAGATTCAATTATTTTATGAATTCGCTAAATTAAAAGATCGTCATGTACAATTGACATTGTAATGAAAATTATAGCTATCATTTTTTTAACGGTTTCTAATTTTCTATTCAAATGCGGCCCAATGCTCTACTATGTCCTGGATCCGCCGCTGGGTGAGATGGAAAATAGATGCTTGGAAAAAATAGTGACCAGTGGGGTTTTCCAACAAGGGGGAGGATGGCATTATTTATTGCAACAACCTGTAGTTTTTTTTTCTCTTTACTTTCCATATTCTTTAATAATTTTATTTACCTTATGTTTGGCAATAAGGGGGTGCAAATTCGAGGGGCAAAATACTTATTTACCTATGCATTTAGTTGGCCCGAATACTTGTTTACCCATCCAATACTTGGTAAAAAAACTAATGAGTCATTATTGTTTACCAAATAATCAGGAGGGAAAACAAAAAAATCTAGTTTTAGACTTCTTTATTTACTTTTTTTTTCTCTATGTTTGATTTTCTAATTCTTTTATAGTTTTATGTGCACTATGTTTGGCAACAAGGGGAGCAAATTTGAGGGACCAAAACTACTTGATTACGTGCGCCTTTAATTGGCTCAAAATACCCATTTATCTATCCTAAAGTGGCAAAAAACTAACGATGTCCATTATTGTTTACCTAATGGTCAGACGGTCTGTTTTTTTTTCGTTTACTTTTCTTATTCTTTAATAATTTTATTTACGAAATGTGCCAATGAGGCCCATGACTAATACCAAGTCTTGCCACACGAAACCGGGGGAAAATTATTTAGAGTCGAGATATAGGATTTTTAACATGTTATTTATCGTGAGAAAATTGTTCCCCGTGACTAGATGTCAACCATTAGTTACAGTATTTGGTTGATTCTCTCGTATCTTGATATTTATATTTGATCATGGTACTTAACAGATATTTTTCAAAATTAATTACGCCTGTTTTTTTTTTTCTTTTTTGCAATGCTTCGTATTTGAACTTGTAGTATTGAAAGTCAGTACAAATGATATCCCCTTAATAGCCAGAACAAAGTCATTACAAAGGAAGTTGTTGTATCAAGCTTGCCCTCTTGTCCATAATACCAGGATTGACTAGTGGCCATTGCTTGATCATTGGTGTTGCTGGTTTTTGAGTTTGGCTTGTTGCATAATACCGTGGAATGCTCTATCTCGTACTTCTTTGTTTTGTTTTTGGAACGAAAGGGGTGACCTTCCACTTAGTTGTTGCCCTTTGTTCCTATTCCTTTTTATTTGTTTTTTTGTTGTTCTTTGGTAGCGGTTCAATAATTGTGAACCATGTGGAACAATTCTTGGTTCTTCTCTCCTTTTTTAATAAAATTTCTATCGCCATTATCAAAAAATAAAATACAAATAGATTACTGATATACTTGCTTTCACAACGAAATAAATCATGAAACGCCCAAGACAGAAATTTCATCATAGTTCAACTTATATAAGTAACAAAAACAGCGTCACTTCTGCATTTCATTTTGTAGATCGAAATGATGAGCCAACATGCCAAGTGAAAGTAGCTTTTGTTCTGCTATTAAAGGTAGAAACAATGATATCATAAGGTGCCCCTACAACAATACAATATATAATCATTCATTAACTTTATTTTCCCAAAATATAGCTCTATTCCACCACTTTCACCGGGGAAAAAACAGCAAATCTACATAACTATGGAAATTACAACAACCTATTTGGGTGCAGAGGCTTGCTGGATATAACAGATGGAACTATTGGGTTACTATTTTGAATATTCATCCCCAAGACCTGAACCCAAGCACACTCTATGAACTTATAATCTATAATCTGATAATCGAGTCGATTCCATGATTATTAGTTCATTTCATACCGGACCAGACCGGAATAGGCTTATATACATTCTCATTATGAGAAAGGGGTCATTCGAGCGTATCTAAATAGATACTATGTTTACATATGGATCCCTCCCACCAAACTACTCTTCTCTTTCCCTTTCTCTCTAGCCCCTGGTGATTTGTCAGATAATGGTCACTCGAGTCAGAAAGGGATTGTGACGGGGAAGAAAACTATTTGATTAGCTGACTAGTCTGGATTTGATTTGATGGATGGACCTTTATAATAATAGAGATGCATGTAAGGTTCATAAAAAAATAATTAGAGAGATGCAAAATCGATGAAGATGTCTATCAGTTTCAAGTTTCATATTCTTTCATTTGTAAGTTTCTATGAATTTTGTACTTGTAGCATTGAAGACGTTTTTTTTATTGGATAAATGGGGTTATTCTTATGAATAATACATACATGACTTTATGTAGGAAGAAGGTGATGGAGCTAGCTAACATGTATCCAAATTTAAACATATATACTAACTAGAGGATTTGTATTGTAAAAAAAAAAATGAATGCTTTAGCGAGCGTGAATTAGATTGTAATTTAAGATTTGTATCATAATCGACACTATTCAATCAATAAGTCGGCTTGTGAATAATGTGAAGTGGGCCATGAGTTTATTTTACCTCATCGCCCTATTACCTTTTATTCTCTAACTATAACAATATTCTCTCGAACTATAACTCATATCAATACCTTTTAATCACAGATTGTTGTTATCTGACCAATTACTATATACATTGCATGCCGACATAGCTATTTATGGAGAAATGGAACACTGCAAAAATAGGGCTTGAATTATGTAGGTTTCTGAGTTTCATGCATGCATGTGAAGACTTGCGAATTCATTTCTTTTTGTCTTTCTTTCTTTGTTCCTTCTGAGTTCTTCTGATGGATGCCTCCCTTTTCCTCTCCTTTGGGTTGATGATGAGACTCATTAGTATGCAAAGCAGCCATGAATTTATGTGCTATGCTGTCAGAGGGAACTGGCCAGGCTCTCGACCCGTCGTTTTGTCATTCACAGCCACCTAACTATATACTAACGATGGGAGACCAAGAAAGGGAAAGAAACCCATGATTCATCAAAGAAATACATCATCACGAAACAAAAAAAAGAAAGGAGTGGTTATCAATATGCTCGACTGAAAGGAGAGGGGGAGAGTTCGACCGAAGGGCGAAGGGAGAGGAATTGGTGTGCAATTATCCTGAAAACTTGGGAGGCGGAAGTTAGTAGTTCACGAGTGACTCAAGCCGTTCAAAAGGATCTCCCGTTCTTCCATCAAATATTATACTTTTTCCCGGGAATTCGGGTTCAAATACCCACGAATTTGCTGTTTGTTTACTGGCTTCATATAATTCAGAAAACACAAGTTTTCTTGAAGCCTCTTGCTCATATCTCTCATCAAACGGTGCTATGCGATAACGACCGTGTGTACCAAGCGCAAGGCGAGCGAAAAGAAGAAGATACACCCTTTCCAAGTGTCTAAATTTACCATTAAGTTGGTGCCTCAAAAGTATACTAAAAATCAAAATATGGCCCTTCCCTTTCCATTCTATCAGAGGGACACAGGGCTCTCCTCGGCTTTGAGCTCTTCCCCCGATGTCTGAATGCTCCTTTACCGAGCGAAGGACTCTGGAAATTCTTAATAAGCTAGACCCATGCTTCGGGTTGTTTCATGCCATAAATAAACTCGAACACTCAAGAAATCCGTCGGGCAGGCGGACTTCGGGGGAGTAAAGGAGTTGTGCTTTCAGTGTGAGCAGCTGGACGGAGAAAGCAAGTATTCATAGGCCAAGAGGGTACACATCATCCTCAACGATCTCAGATTGACATCTTGATACACTGATTTACCATAATAATAAATAGAGTTAATGGTTACTCCGCCGTGGAAGGAGCCGCTTCTTTCTTGCTTGATAGGGGGGCATTTACCAGCGGAGACTAAAAGATGAGAAGTTATTCCTCCCGAAACAAAAGGATCCAAAACTTCCACACCCCACGGTGGATTTACAGCTTGTTCCGCCCAATTCTTTTCTTGCCTCGGATGTGAGTCGTCATAATTGATGGTCTTTCTTGAGGAATGCAATATACTCGACCGAAGGAACGAAGTAGTGAGCCCGAAGGGCGAAGGAACGAAGTTTCTCGACTGAAAGGAGAGGAGGGGAACCTTGGATAAGAAAGAATCTTTCTCGGTTAGTGTGTCCCTGAGTAGAAGTGGTTTACCACGCATTATCCCGGCTCGTCATCGACACTTAATACAATGTAGAGGCGAGAGGGCTGATATGCTAGTAAAGATGTACTTGTCTTGGTTTGGTATAGCCAGGCTAGTCCTTCTAGATAAGCCTGTCAGTAAAGGGCTTTTTAAGTCTATAAACACCCTGCTGATCTGGATTCTGTTGTGCGAGTGTCAGTTCGTTTGAAGAGCTTATACAGCAAGCTTCAACGACTGTACCTACCATGGATCCATTATATTCCTATGAAAGTAGGAATGCGATGGGTCCCTACCTGGAAGGCTCTTCCGAACTCTTTGAGACATTACGACTCTAAACAGGAGACGTCGATATTTACAGCTCTTACGCTGGAAATAGGCCGCTCTTTCTCTCTAGAGTTAGGGCAGTTGTCCTTGCGAACGCAGTAGCCGCAAGACAAAGACCCAACATCTATTATCAGTCAGAATTGGACCATAACGGAATTTCGGTCTATACCGGTACGATAAGATCAGATTGGGGGGGGGGGGGGAGAGGTAGAATTAGAGATTGATAGAAAAACAAGGATATGGGCTCGTGTGAGTGGGAAATAGAAAATATCTATTCTAGTTCTATTAGCAGCTATGGGTTTGATTGATGATAAGAAATCCATATTCTCGAACTCGAGTAATTGGTTATACTATCTATCTCTGAGAGGGAGCTTGATCCAGTGTTCAGTCAGTCCAAAATTCCCTTTTCTCTTTATCCAATCTAAAAATGCTATTTTCATTTTCGAGTCCATATGGAGGATTCAAGGCTCAAATTACGACTCATGCCTGTTTGTGGGTGGGAATGATAAATTCTTCCTGATAGTACTAGGACTCTTGAGAGATATTTTTCCAAGACTCTGACTTCAGAAATGCGTGGATTTTAAAAGTTCTCAATGGCTCAAGATGGAACTCTCTCTGGATGAGAGGATTTAACATTGGCTCCCTTGGAGAAAAGCTGTTATTGTGAAACCGTTAGGAATAAATTTGAGTTACTTCTTTCTTTATTAGAAACTTAATGATCTACGCACTGATTCTTGAATACCTGCTAGAGTAGACAATTCGTGTGGTATTTTCTCAGATTTTGCACGTGTGATACATGTTCCTTCAATTTCTCCAAGCAAAGCTCTTCGCATCGCAATGCCTATTGTGTCAGCTTTACCTTTCATAAGCGGAGCCAGAAAAAAACGTCCATAAAAAAGACTCTTACTATCGGTTCTTGATTCAACGCACTTCCATTGGAGGGCCTTACGTAAAGTTGCCAGAGTACGATTAACCTCTGGATTTGAAATCACTGCTTATATACCTGGTATTGGCCATACTTATTTTCTTTGACACCTACTTGGAAAGCTCTGCCTAACAAGGGTGTTGAAAAGGGAAGAGGTGGTCAATCTTTAATGCATTGCCATTTGAGATAACGACTTTTACCTTAAACTTTAGATTTATACATTCCGTTGCCTTACCACTTGGCCACACCCCATTTCTATTTTCATTCAATACTACTAAAAACTTACATTAGTATTAGTTCTTCGTCAATTCCTGCTCAAATAGTTATGAAATAAACTAGCTTGGTTTTCGTATTTTGATATGCGTAGATATAGAATTCAACTAAATTTATTGATCATAATATAGAATTCAATTAAGATATTGTATGAAAACTGAATTTCTTCTATTCTTTTTTTTATTTGAGAATTGAAGAATTGGGAATTCTACGACTTTAAAAAGAAGGATTTTTTGGGGCTTTAGCCCCTAGAAAAAGAAAACGGAGTCTTGAGAACCCCTTGCACGCTCCTGTCACGTCGAGGTACTGCAGAAGAAAAAACTTCAAAATCCGATCCAATTTATCGTAATCAATTTAATTCATTCGGGCGAGACATCATAAGATGTCATGATGTGCCCATTGCTATGGCCATTCCTTTAATACTTCTGGCTCTCGGGAGTCTCTTTGTAGGATACTTGGCCAAAGTGTGACCCGTTAGCCCATAAGTAAGTACTGTGACAAAGCGGTTGTTGCTCACCCGACCCGATCGTACGAGGTCACAATTCACCCAACACGATCATCCTGGGTGAACAAGAATTGGGGATCGGATGCGGGCAAAATTCCGGCCAATGGCTGAGATGTTCAGTTGATAGGAGCGACTTTCAAAAGCAGCAAGATCTCTTCTTCCCACTACTAGTTTGGTTTGTCATAACATTGGCACCAACTAATTTGGACAACTTCTTCAATTCTGACTTCCTTCACTACGAAGTCGTCACCAAAGCGGTACACAACCCGGTCTAAGTCGGAACCGAAACCCACTTCTCGGATTCGGAAACCAGAAAGAGATGGCATTCCTAACAAGTAGTAAGCCAATATTTGAGGAAAAGGTAGGTTGGAATGGGATGTTGAAGATTGCTTTTATCTCCAGTTGATGGATCGTATCAGCGGCTTGTGACCCAGCGACCCCTACTATACCCCTAAACTACAAGCTAGCGCGCAACGACGGAAAAGCCGTTGTTGCTTGCTGCTTGCAAGCTCGAAAATATCTCTTTCGCCTCCCCTCCCTGTCTCTATTCTGATTGATTCGCTTCTTCCTTCGCCCTTCGCTCTTTTTTTCGATTTTGAAAGTGGGAACCCTTTTTTATCTGTCTTTAGTGTAACTGCTTGAGCCGGATGAGAGGAAACTTTCACGCCCGATACTCTTACTCGACAAAAGGTTCTTTTCTATACAATAATCAAATAATAGCGGGTATAGTTTAGTGGTAAAAGTGTGATTCGTTCGATTAATCCTAATAGTTAAGGGATCCTTCGGCTCATATCCGATCAAAAACTTTATTTCTTAAAAGGATTTAATCCTTTACCTCTCAATGAAAAATTCGAGAAAGAATAGACATTCTCGTAATTTGTATCCAAGACATGTAGTCGAGACCTCTACGGTGGGTGCCTCTTCGTGCTTACTCCACTCCTTAAGTCAGATAAATTTCTGACAGACACTACTATATCGTACGTCAGGCAAGGCCAACGATAGACCGGAGCGCGTGCAGGTGCAGGTTAATCTCTTCATCTTCGCCAACAACCGATCAATAGCCAAAGGAGTGTAGCATGACGCTTATTTTTTAGACCGGTTTTAGTCAACGCGGGGCAAATTTCTCTCCTACTCGAGTGAATTTTTAAATATTCATTGAAAGTAGAACGATCAGGCCCAGGAGCTCGGAGAGCCCTACTAATCTCATAACAGTTATAACAATTGGGGTTATAAGAACCCTCAGTTAAAGCTAACACTGTCTTCTTAGATCTAGCCATATCATAACATTTCTATAAGACACCATAAAGAAAGACTTCTTTTTGACTCTGTTCACGGCACCAATGTGTTTCGACAATTGGTAGACTAAAGAATTTTTCGATCTTCGGATCAGGATCCAGACGTAGCAGAATATATCCTAATTTTTTGCCTAATTCTTCTTCTGATGATCGATTCAACCTCAGATCAAAATGATATACCTTGGTTCTATTTCATCTCTTTAACAAGTTTAGTAATGAGTATAACGACCCTTGCAATTTTCTTTTCTGTGGACGCTCCGGCATATGATCTGGGACGGGAAGATAGAGACTTTTTTCTTCGGCGGGCTTTCTAAAAATAGGTTTTTTTGCAAATGAATCTTCTTTTACCTCAAAGGGAGTGCATCCAGCCTATCCATCATAACATAATATAGGAAAGTACGCCCTATCCCCTGTAAACTCTGAACGAATGCTTAGTTAGCCGTGAACTCTTGCTATTCTCCTCTTTGGGCTTCTATTGAATCGAGAAATGGGTTTGATTGTCTATTTTTTTGTATAATCTATTTTGATTGATATAATATATAAGGCATCTTTTGGATAATTCAAATCGAAGCAATTGTATGTCCGACTCGGACCTATATGACATGACCGATCAATAGAAATACTCCAACACTCCACCTTTATCATATATTCCATACATCACACTAGTATCATATTCATGGAATACGATTCACTTTCAAGATGCCTTGGTGGTGAAATGGTAGACACGAGAGACTCAAAATCTCGTGCTAAAGAGCGTGGAGGTTCGAGTCCTCTTCAAGGCATAATATTGAGAATGCTCATTGAATGAGCAATTCAATAAGAGATCTCGGATCTTGGAGCGGATCACGAAATCTTGGTGATCTTCTCTATCTAATGAATGGGGAGTCCGACTGTTAGCAGCAGAGACTCGGGAGCCCGCCCATTTAAGCAGTTCTTTGTTCGTATCGTCCTTGTGCACAATCACTTCAATAAAGCGGAAAGAATCCTTCTGCGAATTGCCTCCACAAAGGAGAAGGGCGAAGGGAGAAGGGCGAAGGAGAAGGCCATCTTTGCCCACTTACCGGCCTAACCCACTACCCCACCTTACTTTTTTGTCTCAGAGGATACTGTTTACAACTCTTAAACCACTACGTTACCAGAGGGATAAGACGAAACAGAGGGTATTCAAATAAAGATACTAATTCCATTTTGTCTGAAGTCTTGGCAAATATCAAAGATCAAATTTTCTCATAAAAACCCAATCAAAAAGAATGGCCAAAAAACATATTTTTGTTTTTTAATAGTTTGGGGGCTGGAAACGGAACTCCCCTTTGGTTCTCCCCAAAACTTCTGAGTCGTGAATATCTGAATAGGACGAACCACCCCCCGGATATCTTTGCTTCGGAACAAAACAATTAGAATTAGGCCCGGTCAACTGGAATGTGTATTATCCTTTGTTACTAAGACTTTCGTGTCAACAATAACGAGAGAAATCGTCATAACGGATGGTTGTAATAAGGGGGTTACGCCCGGGGAAGATATCCACCCCTTTTGAATTAGGCTTTCCTTACTTGAAAGTCAACGCAGTAGGAGTTTAAGTTCCTGGTATTGGTTAAGGCAAAAGAGCATCATCACGTTCGGAGACAGGCTTTCTCCCCAAAGCATATTATTGCTTGTTCGCCATAGCTGAGATAAAGCAAGATTAGAAACTTTAGTTAGGGTCATCGTTTCATCCGCCCTTCCACTTCTTGAGCTGACCCAGCCTGAGTCAAGGCCATTAAGGACCTCGAGCCGACTCTCGTCTGCGAGGTTCGTGTGTCAAGCAAGTTTTGAAAGAGGGTTCCTAGTTGTCTTAGTTTGAAGTGTATACTCTTTTCGCTCACCAACTCAAGGATTGACCTATTTGTTTAGCTTAAGGGGGGAATACTTTCTCTCCTTTATCGATGCTCTTGGGCGCACTGATGAAATGAGACCACCAAGGCCCCTAGGTAAGACGACATAAAGTAGAACGAGATGATCTCGAAGTTATAAATCCATAATAAAAGGATAATGTTCTTATCCAGATAAGTACGTAGAGCTTTTTCACTCTACGTGCTTTGCTTAGAAGGTTGTTCAATTACATGGCTGCCTTTTGGGAGATAGACTTGCACAGAAAGCTATCCGTTCCAGGAGAACCAGGAGAAAAAGTAGCTCGTGAAAAACGGAAGACTGGGGCCCTTTACAAAAAGTCTGGGGCAACCCTCGGGTGAGAAGTGAGAGCTGGAGCTGCATCCCTACTCACTTGGTCCATGCACATCGCTCACTCCAGGAGGTTGGCCGCCTATCCTAGATCTTCCCATTTTCAAGAAGATCCCGGCGATAAATCGCTATTTTACCGAATTCACCCGGTCTAACCACCAGTTATAAAGGTAGCAAAGAAAGTGGAAAAACAGATGGAGATCAAGAACAAAAAGGAGAATGAAAAGCTTAAGATCAAGAACAAAACGCAACAGATTAAGAACCAAAAGGAGAAGGAGATCATGAACAAAAAGCAACAGATTAAGAACCAAAAGGTCGGGAAAGAGAACGAAGCTTTAAAGTCGACATAGGGGGCTAGACAGTTAGCTGAATTCAATGTCTCCTTGTAAGAGTTTGAATACCAAACCCTTAGTCAATAGACCGAAAAAGGTACCGAACTATTTTCTTTTTGGGAAAACGAATTCTTCTAGGAGGTGCGGTAAAAAGAACGAAAAGGTCGGTAAAGAGAACGAAAAGGAGAAGGAGATGAAGAACGAAAAGCAACAGATTAAGAACGAAAAAGGAGAAGGAGATCATGAACAAAAAGCAACAGATTAAGAACGAAAAGGTCGGGAAAGAGAACAAAAAGGAGAACGAGATCAAGAACAAAAAGCAACAGATTAAGAACGAAAAGGTCGGGAAAGAGAATGAAAAGGAGAACGAGATGAAAGTTCCATTTTAGGGAAGGACGACGTACCATGATACTTTCTATTTTGTCGAGCCCTGCTTTGGTCTCTAGTTTGATGGTTGCACGTGCTAAAAATCCAGTACATTCCGTTTTGTTTCTAGTTTCGAGCGTCTTCTAGGAGAAAAAACTTCTTCTCTAAGAGTTTCAATAGCAAGAGCTGCAATATCTCGAAATGAGGATAGCTCTGCCGAGTTTTAAAATTCTTTTTTTTTCTCCGCCAACTATTCTCTTTGATTCAACAATTAGATCATTGGGGTTTTCGTATTATTGGTATCAGATTTCTCTTTTTAACCATCGGTATTCTTTCAGGAGCAGTCTGGGCTAATGAAGCGTGAGGGTCCTATTGGAATTGGGACCCAAAGGAAACTTGGGCCTTTATTACTTGGACCATATTCGCGAGGATACCGTTTCAGGAGGGCGATTTCCTTTTTCAATTCCAGAAGTATCGGAGCCTATGTAAAGGAAGCTGTAGAAGAGCACCACCACGGTTCAGGTCCCGACACATGGGGGATTAATTCAGCTGCAAGGATCACTTGGAGAGCATATCTACCGAAATAAATATGATTGCCTCGATAAGACATTCCTTTCATTCTTCCTCTATGTTGTTTACGGAATCTGGTTATTTTAGGGTTCTAGTCGATGGGTGTTTTTCAATTCCATCTCTAGTCCAAAACTGGACATGAGAGTTTCTTCTCATCCAGCTCCTCCCAAGTGAAATGCTTAAAAAATGGGATTGGTAAGATCTTTACTATCCTAGAATAAATCATGCTTTATTCAAAATCGGAAAAGAACAATATTATAAATTCGAATAATTGAGAAGATCAGATACGTCTTAGAATAAAAGCCCTCTTCTACATCCTAGGTCTTCCCGTTCCTTCATCTGACTTATGTTCTTCATGTAGCACTCAGACTGATTGACTCTATGAAATTACGTCGATACTTCCACATATATATTAGGGGTAACGTAGGAGACATCTCTATTTTTCCACCGGGAAATCTTTCAAATTACCACTGCTTAGCTTTCTTATTATTCTTGCCTTATCATCTGAGACAAAGTAACCATTTATTATCTTATATCATCAGGGTAATGATCCATCAACCTATTGCTAGCTTTTATGCGGCACAAATAGTAGAATTTGTCCTGGAAGCGGAAGAATTACTGAAACTGCGCGAAATCCTCACAAGGGTTTATGCAGAAAGAACGGGCAAGCCCCTATGGGTTGTATCCGAAGACATGGAAAGGGAGTCCCCATGTCCCCCTCGTGTGGCGACATGAGGACGTAAAAAGGAAAGAGAGAGATGAGGTTTCTCTCGCTTTTGGCATAGCGAGCCCTCGGCGGGGCCCCCGCATGACGGGCTATTAGCTTAGTGGTAGAGCGCGCCCCTGATAATTGCATCGTTGTGCCTGGGCTATGAGGGCTCTCATCCACATGGATATTTCAATGTGCTCATCAACGCCTGACCCAAAGTCCCCAGTTTCCGGTTTTATTAAAAAAAGTAAATAGGTAAGGGAAGAGGAAAGAAAGTATACTTTGAAGCGGACGCCAAAACGTAGGCTCCTGGGCCGGCTCTTTCAAGGGCCACATAGATCCGTTGAGTCAAGCCCCTCGTGAATGTGAGGGCGGGGAAGAAAGCTCTTTCTAAACTTTAGGAGGTTGAGGGCTGCCTCTCCCATCATGACTTTCTTTCATGAAGGACAAAAAAGCAATGATGATCAGAAGAGTCTTGGTCACTAGAAAGTGCTTAAGACCAGAAGGAGGGGAAGTGAGATCCGCTAAGATCGAGTTGAGATTCCTAATTCAAGTAAGGGAGTGAGTCTATATGCCTTTCTTTGTTTAGTTAGTAAGAAGATGCCAGTTCTCTCATTGAGAGGTACTAAGGTCCAGTTATTCTCGGGCGACGGGAGATTCTCTTTCAAGTCAGCATATGAAATCACCGCCGAGATGCAATCGACTACGCAGACACATCCATTTGGCGCGCAGTTTGGCGGAGCAGATCCCGATTCTATTGGTGTGTAATATCGGTTAGCCATAGACCCCCAGTTACTAAATCTAATCCTCCACGAAAAGTAAGAAATTCCGAATATTTTGACCAATTCAAGGTGAATAAGGGAGTTGCTCCCTCAGCAAAACTGGGATACAGTTGAGCCAAAAGATCCCGGTTCAAGATAAATTCATGAGGAAGTGGGATCTCTTTATTATCTACTCCAGCATTTAGAAATTGGTTAATTTGTAAAGATACATGTACTTGATGCCCCGCCCAAAAAAGAGACTATCTTGAGCAGCATGGCTGGCCAGAGGAATATGAGGTTGAATTCCTCTTAGAGCATTATTCCCTTTCTCCGTAGCGGCTTACGCACAAACCGTCGGCCAGGAAGGAATTTTTTCTATTTATTTTTTCCCAAAAACCTTTATTACTTTATACAAGGCATGCAATATATCCGCACGTTTGGCATTCTCTTCTGCCAATGACGCACGATACCGATTAGATTGTGTTGTCGCTTTGCTAGATGAAATAGAATAAAATATATCTAATGAAGTTTTTCCAATATCAGAGTCTCTAATAACATTTTAATCCTCCAAGTTTATGTGCGTTGTAACAGAGGTAAGGTGAAAATGAGAACACTCACCCTTATGCTTGATGACCAACTCAGGGAGGTGTTGTGAATCACTGAATATTGGGAATGTAAACTCTCCCGTTTGAGGAGAACCACTCAGCTCCTCTATGGGGTGCATTTCTTCCCCATGAACACCAACCTCAACATAACTTGTATTAATGACTTTGATAGAACCCTTGAATATGCGGGCTTTCTTACCACTGAGGTTATTAAACGCATCGCCCGTATCAATAGGAGGAAGTCGGGCTATACAATCATACCCATACATCGTTCCCTCATGCGGTAAAGGCTTTTCTCCTTTCTCCAAAAGCCTTGTTGGTACTTTGGATACCTGTATAACCATCGAAGACTGTTGAAGTGCCCAATTCCTTAAAATTAAAAGGGCGTTGAGGACAAAGAAATTGTTGGAGTTAACTTAACATTTTTATCTAGTACCAAAAGCTTCGATGTTAAGAAAAGATCTTTTGCAGGAAGGTTGGCTAGAGATTTATTGTAAAAACACTAGCCCCGCCCAATTCATAATGAGAATATTTCACTCCTTTTTGATTCTATGTATTTTTTTCATTATACACAGAAGGGAGGAGCCGTATGAGATGAAAATCTCATGTACGGTTCTGGAACGGAGATTATTTGAATCGAATACGACCGTAACAGATGTCTGCTCAATCCGAATCGGTAGGTTTCCGGGCCTCCTAAAAAATCCTTCCAGCAAGAATGCTTCTTCCTATTGATCCAGTTGACATTGACTCAGTCAGTAGTTGGCCGTTGATTTAGTTGACCGAGAATCAAGGGAAGCACCATAAAGGGGAGGCAGCATCTTATCTAGTTTCATCTGTGGATTGAAATGAATCAGCAATAGAGTCGGTAGCCTCACCAATCTCTATTTTTCTTTCTCAACCAGCAGTCTTCATGAGGATGGAAGTCTTATGTGGTGTAAACTTTACTGGATTTTTATTAATGAGAGGAAAGAGAAGGAGATCAAGAACAAAAAGCAACAGATTAAGAACGAAAAGGTCGGGAAAGAGAACGAAAAGGAGAAGGTAAAGAAATTCGTGTCGCGGCTGCTATACTCCGCCACGGTCTCATGAAGTTCACTTCCTTGCCTTCCCGCGCGCGAAGCGTATGGGCCCTCCACTAGCAGGTTTTTTTCGGAAAACTCCATTTATTCTAGCGTGGATGGCAGGCACACCTTTCTTTTTTGGTTTCAATAGGACGGCAATGATAAAAAAGAAGAATAAGGCCATTCTATTTCGACAAAAGACCCACACCCAAGTTCCATAGCTTTGGGTCCGCTATCCCGATCACGAATTTCCTACCTCCAGGGGGAAAGGTCCTTCCCTTTTTGGCCGGTTGTGGGCGAGGAGGGTTAGAGATCCTAACCCCTCTACCATATCCGTACAAAACCCAAATAAACAATAGACAAAAATACATAAAAAGGAATCCCGGTCTTTTTTAATGATCTAATCATAAGCTTATTGGAAAAGAAAAAAAACAGTGGCCGCAACGAACATTCCACATTGTTCCTTCCAGGATTAGGTACCAAACACGTATAATTCCCTTCCACGTATTAAAAGTCCTACCACTCATTCTTTATTAGGGTCCAGCCTACCGCCGAAAGTACTTGGCGCGCACGACTCTGGACCAAAGAGCTTCCGGCTCGTTCAACTCAGCTTTGGGACTAAAACTGCATTCCTCACCTTTCACTCGAGCAACTTCATTCCTCACTCAAATGGAACTGGAACGAAGGCTACTTTAATGCAAGTTCTCCCCTTCTGAATCAGATAGATTCATATCCGAAAGCGGTTGACAATAAGTTCTTTCAAAATTGACTATTTGTCCCTCTGTTAGAGAAAGAGAAGAAATTATCTTGAATTTTTTCTTTTTTCTATATTTACTTTTTTTCGTGAGGTCCATTCTATTTTTTTTTATGTTTCGAAGGAATTCGATAGTTGTAGATTCAGTTCATTTCTTGCTAGTTTAATGTTTTGATTATCCCGTATGATTCAAGCTTCTTTTTCCTTTGTATGTATATAACCTAAATTTTTAGGGGGGTTGCTTTTCCTTGCTTGCATTAAGATTAAAACTTGTCGTAAAAAAAAGGCAATCAATAAGAATCAAGAAAAAAATTGAAATAGTGAATCAAGATCATCATGGATTAATGTTATATCAGTATCAGTACTTTCCTTCTTCATTCGGATCGAGCGAGCAGGCAAGCAAAAGATAGAAAGTCACTCGCATTTTAATTAGAAGAGTTCCGGTCCTCTTGACGGGATACGATTCAGAAGGCAAACAGAAGGGGAGAACTTGCATCGAAGAGCCGATATCGTTTCCGTTCGAATTACTTCTACCAAAGAGGGGTCGATAACTTCCGCCCGTAGGGCGAAGGAACGAAGTTGCTCGACTGAAAGGGTGCTCCCTGGGGCGGGGAAACAGCGGCTGTTTGCTATACCTACGGGCTCATAATAAACCTTCGCCAATATGGGAAGCATCATCTGTTGATGAATGGTTATATAATGGCGGTCTTTATGAGCTAATTGTTTGTTCGGTGAATTCAAAATTGTTCATATGCTTATTGGGCTCTATATATTAACAAGCGGGAATCGTCGAGGGATTGGTGCAAATAGGTATAATCCGTGCAATCGCAGAAATTCTAAGGTTGAAGTTTCCATCCATAGTAGCCCCGTCACTATCAACTCCTTCTACAAGGCCAACAGGGGGGATGGGACAACTACCCGCAGAAACTAGATCGCTGGCAGTTGGACAAGGAAAGGCAAGAAAGAACGAGCAGCCACACATGCTTTTTTTTTTCTAGAATAGCGATAGGAAGTAGCTAGTTGATGACTAAAATCATGTGTTTAACACACACCCTATCATCCACAAACCGAACTCGCCCATCCTTTTGGGCACAGGGATGCGAGAACCAATCCGAATAATCAACCGCTTTTTTTAGAAAATCTGCCTCCAGCAAGACAAGATAGGGGGACGTCAAAAAGCCGTATAGTGCAGGAGCGCTCACATTTTTTGGCTGACTCTTTCACTTGGACTCAAGAGGTTCAAACTTTGATGTTTGTTTAGTAGGAATTGAGACATCTCGATACAGAGGCCACAAAGCACATGACTTCCTTTGTTGGCTCCTACTCTACCAGACGTTGGCCGGCTTCGCGAGAACTTTTCGATCTACACATGGCTAAGCTCTATTAGGCACTGCTTATCGAAGCAAGACATTATATGAACTGGATTAAAAGGTTTCGTCATCCTAAAATTAGGATTCATTTCTTGTCGCAAATATTCTAGGTGATGGCGTAGTCATTGCTGCCCCAAGTTTCCTTTGGGTCCCAATTCTAATAGGACCCCCACGCTTCATTAGCCAAGACTGCTCCTGAAAGAATACCGATGGTTAAAAAGAGAAATCCGATACCAATAATACGAAAACCCCAATGATCCTAGAATTTAAATCTCTAATTGATGATCATAAAAATGACTAGAAAAATGAAGGTAATTTTGAAATCCTTACTGCACCTAAACCTCAAGACTTGACAAAAGTAAATATGTCCAAGGGGGAATGGCCTATAAATCATTGGTGGACCTTCCCTTGAACGGTCACGGAGCTCTCAACTGAGTTGTTTAGGTTCTGGAATTCCATCTCTAGTTGGGGTTTTCGGTTCGAAGGTTAGAACATGTGGTGCGGGTTCATCTCTCTAAACCAATTCAGGTTCAAAGGAAAGGGTGATCGAGGGGTTCTAAGGGAAGGAATTTATTCGCCTATTCCGCTCGAGGAGAACAGGCCATTCGGCAAGGGGATTCTGAAATTGCGGAGGCTTGGTTTGATCAAGTCGCTGTGCATTGGAAACAAGCTATAGCACTTACTCCTGGAAATTATATTGAAGCGCAGAATTGGCTGAAGATCACAAGGCGTTTCGAATAATATATGAACACCTTTTTTTAGTAATTCTTATTTATTGCATATTTTCTTTAGTATTTCTTCCATTTTTCTATTTCTTATAATTAATTGTTTGTTGTCCCCATCAGTCAAATAACACGCTTTCTTTCTTTGACGGGTACTCCTACAGCGCCCAAAATCCCCGGTTTACCCGTAGGTCCTGACACAAGGTTAGAATTCTAGCTCTTCCAGAGTGGTATCTCACTGATGGCTCGGACCCCCAGGAAGGGGGCCTTCTCCGCCCTCTTGCGCCCCACACCATTGCGAAAAGAGGGGGCTTGCCCATCAGCCTACTTTGCCAAGAGGCGGCATCCCTTTCTCACAGAAGTAACCAAAGTAATGCTTTCTGGCTGCTACCATCATAGCAGCATGTATCAGAGCCGAAATAGGAGTAGGTCCTTCCATTGCATCTGGTAACCATACATGAAGAGGAAATTGTGCTGATTTAGCAGTTGGACCAAAAAATAATAGGAAGGCACAAAAAGTAACAAATAAACTGAACCATATGGAGATTGGCCGATAGCTAAGAAACGTAGTTGGCGCCCAAACAAGAATTCCCAGGCACTCCTAAGAGCCCTGTTCTATTTCTATTCGGCAGAATAAAAAAAATACTCTTTACTATTGTCACTGACTCATACATTCTCTGTGGAGTCCCCCTTCTTTCTCATGCAGAAAGAATTTTTTTTCTAGATGTAATTCAAGTGGGTTCAAGTGCTTGGAGAGCATATCTACCGAAACAAATACGATTCTTGAATATCATTTACTTCTATTTCCAAGTTCTAGTCCAAAAGACTAATTCAATCCCACTCTTGGGTGACCTTATCCATTTGGCGGATTGAACACTGGTCACATCAAAAGAGAATGAAGGGCGTTCTTGTATCAATGCAATTTTATTATTTCGAAGCGAAATGCTTAGAAAAAAATCGTGGTTGGGAAGGTTATAGTAGCAAAACCCTTGGAATTTTTTTTATATATTGGAAGAATCCGTTTTGTTATTATAGAAAAGGATAAAGATGTCAATTATGTCCATAGTTTGGAAAGCGCATTCTCGCCTTATATGTTGTTTCATCACCATGTGATATTCGCATGTGATAACGCATATACGACGAGAGCCTTAATGGAGTCACTACGTCTACTAAATCAGCTGCTTTTTTTTTGTACCAACAATTAAAATTGGAGAAAACCTAACAATTATACAATATTTGCCTTATGTAACACGTTGAGATTATTTAGCTACTATGTTCACAGAAGCAATAACAGTAAATGGACGAGAACAGTTGGGAATTATTCAAGTATCGAAAAGAGCCACCTATATCAGAGTTATTTTGTTGGAGTTGAGTCGTATAGCTTCTCATCTGTTATGGCTTGGCCTCACCACCAAGGAATCTTGAAAGTGAATCGTATTCCATAAATATGATACTAGTGTGATGTATGGAATATATGATAAAGGTGGAGTGTTGGAGTATTTCTATTGATCGGTCATGTCATATAGGCCCGGATCTTTCCTTCTTTAGCGAAGGGTGGCATACTCCCTTCTGGCCTATCCAAGTGCGACTTCTCATTCTGAAAAAGAGTATTTCCTATTTGATCCCTTTCAATTCCATATTCGAATCCGGAGGAGGTTATAGTAATTTTCTCTGCGGGTGGCATAATAGAATTAAACCCGGAGGAGGTTATAGGAATTTTCTATTCTACGGATAATATTTTTTCTTGTCTTGATCTCTCCTTTCTCGCAGATTTGCTATTTCTAACCTCTTCAAAAGTTTCTTTTAAACCTGCGGCAGCAGAACTCTCTTCCAAATAAATGTAACCAGCTGCTACCCCCGGAAACCTATGTCATCACAACAGCTAAACCAGCCACTACAGCTGTAACTGCTGCAACCGGTAGCTTTACCCTTTCGGATGACGGATGGATGGACTCTTAAACATTTGCCAAAACCTACAAAGTAGAGTTCTTTTCGAAACCTGTTGCAGAAATTAAACCAGTCGTTAAGAATCTGATCCGATTTATATTTTTTTATGGCCTTCTAGGAGCCAACCCGATTATTGAAATTGCTCAAGATACCCTTTTTAGCTTCTAGAATTTATTTCTTAGTTCAATGAGGGTTCGTCTCCTGTCTTCCAGAGTGCTAATGCGGTCCTGGATCCGTTGCATGGCTGCAGCCATAAGCGCTGGATCGATTTGAGGCAGGTGCTCCCAAAAGGCATTCGGGAAATCATAATCGTCCTATATTATATTCTTCTAAGTCGCAGTTCATGCTAGGTTTGGCCAAATTTATGTCTAATTCAACTATCTTCTATTCTTCCACAGTCCATAATGATGTGAACTCCCTGCAACATTCTAATCAAGGTATGGCATCCCTGGTCGTCAACCGAATTTTTTCCATTTTGCTCAGTTGGTACCCTCCAGCGATGGCTGGGCAGTGATCCTTTGTTGATTAAGCAAACAAAACAGATTAAGAATGCTTCCTTTCTTATTCTTTAGCAGAGGTTTGTCACTTATAAATAAGAATAGAGCGCCCATAAAAAATGAGCACCTAGGAAGAAGAGGCCATATGCAGATAATGAAGAACCATAAGACTGAATTACTTGGGATGCCTGTGCCCATAAGAAATCGCGAAGCCATCCATTAATAGTAATGGAACTCTGTGCAAAGTTTCCGCGCAACGGACTGTGATATCTATTAGTCTATTTCTGAACTTCATGAATCTCTTTTACGATAGCTCAGCTCAAGCAAGTGATTGGTCTCTTCCCGAGAGAGGAAATGTGAAAAAGACTTATATAAAGGGTTGAAGGGAGATAGTGCATCAAACTGTTCGCAACTAGGGGTGGGCAACGGGACGGGACGGGATACCCGTCCCGTTTTAAACGGGTACCCAGTCCCATTTGGAGATCAAAGTCCATCCCATATCCCAAACCCATATGGGAAACGGGTACCCATTTCCCGTACGGGACGGATAACGGGTACCCATACTACCCATAAATACCCAAAGTTTAAACCACTAAAATTTTAACAAAAGTTTAAACTTAACTTGTATTTGCTTAACAATCACAAGACACA